CCTCTGGTACAATTTCCTTAGTGAATATTTCCCCCTATTAAATTTTAGGAATTAAAATTCACAAGAAAACATTAATTAGGTATCGGAGGTAAATCAATATGAGCAAAATATATTTACTGAGAGGCGATATCGCACTACCTATCATTAAACTTAGTAATGAACCGATTTTTCACTCCTATCTGGCACCATACACATTTATTTAACTGCAGGCACATTTTTTAAACCAAACAAGTAATTGCTAAAAATTCATCATTCACATTTTCGTTTTGAAATGTTTATGTCATAGTCGATAACATTCATCTAAAATTAAACTTATATTTTCGTACTGTATCTGAATTCGAATCATACTTAGTCATTTCCACGAGTACGTTTTGTACACAAAATATAAGACGTTTTTTTCACACGTCTATTATGACGCACGGATCGCCATTTTAGTTTCTGTGCAATGTTATGTTGTAAACTCGCAAAAGGTTAGATATTAATTCGGCCTATTGTTTTTGTGCGCAGGACATAAGCGGTAAACCACTTCAGACGGCGCTGTTGGCCACCTCCTCGTCGGGCGTGGTGAGCAAAGACTGTCCGATGCACAGCAACAGCGAACGGAGCTTGAACAGCCCGGTGATGAGCGGTCACAGCCTGTCGGGCAGTGGCATGTCCGGCGGTGGCGGCGGCGTGGTTGGAAGCAACAGCGGGGGCGTCGGAGGCGGCAGCGGCGTGGGCAGTGGCGGCCGGTCGCAGTCGCAGCTACAGCAACAGCAGCAGCACGGCCGGCCGCCGAGCTTGGGCAGCACGGTGGACGCGGTGTCCGGCGGAACGGGCGGCAGCGGCGGACGGCCGTCCAACATAATGGTGGACGACCACGCGCACCTCCGCCGGCACCAGCAGCAGCAACAGCAACAGCAGCAGCAGCACCACCGACCGAATGACGACGACGATGACGACGACACGGGTACGTCGACATCGTCGGACGAGAGCGGAAACGACTCGTTCACGTGCTCGGAAATCGAGTACGACAACAACAGTGTGTCGGGCGAAAAACTCAGCGACGTCATATTCAACAAGATCGGCAGCACCGGCGGCAAGAGCGCTTCCGGTTCGTCGGACAGGGACTCGCAACGCCGCCGCCGGTTGCCGTTGCCGTCCCAGCTGCCGCCCTCGTCGTCGTCGTCGTCGGATGCCGCGGTCATGGCGGCCCAGCACCAGCAGCAGCAGCAACAGCACCAACAGCAACAGGACCAGATGCAGGCGGCCGCGGGTTACGACACGTTCGACTCGTCGTTCAGGGGATCGCTGAGTACGCTGGTGGCGTCCGACGACGACGGCCCCATGTACCGGAACGTCCGGACGCCCAACAACAACCCGTCCGAGTCGTCCAGCATACCGGTGGGCCTGGGCTGGGATTACCTGCTCAACTGGGCCCCGTCCAACAACGGCATGAGGCCGATCATGCAGCCGCCGTCGCCGTCGTCGCCGTACGCCGACCACGATCACCGGTTGCACCATCACCATCACCACGTAGGCGGCGGTCAGTCGGCCGTCGACTCCGTGTCCGCGAGAACGGGCGACGGTAATTCGTCGTCACGACAGTCGCCAAAGTCTCCGGAAGAATACGTCTGACGGCGATAATCGAACGACCACGACCGACACGACCACGACCGATAAACGATCAATGACATCGTGTCGCGGCCCGGCCGACGCAAACGGTGCTAGTCTAATACATCATTCTCCGTCCCCCCCCCCCGTCCCCGAGCAGTCACCATTATTATTATTTTTATGTATTTTAATTTCTGTCTCTTTTGAATCACTTTTTTTATTTTTATACTTTTTTAAAATAATTATAGCGTGTGTAAATTTGAAATTATTTTGATTATTATTACTACTACTACTACTACTACTACCACTACTCCTTCTTCTATTATTACTACTACTACTACTACTATGATAATGTAAAATAGTATTATATAACCGCGCTTTGTATAAAATATTATTTTAATGATGTGTACAAATTTCATTAGTATAAAATACCTATTATAAATAAATAAATAAATAAATATATATATATTATATTATAGTCGTGTAGACGCATATGTATATACTGCAGTGATGTGTGTTTCGCGATTGTACATAATATTTGTGCCATATAGTTTTGTAAGTATAATATGTATTATGTATTATATATATATCTAAAAATATGTGTACCAATGAATAAAAAATTGACTGATTTTCTTATTTTTCCATTGTCGTGTTTGTATATGATTTTTCCCAACACTAAACCGTTTGTGGACATGTCTGTTATCAACCGTGTTTTTACTCAAACTTTGCAAAGGTCAATTAGGCTCCTGCGACTGACGTACATACAAGATATGGATAATAATACGTGTCCGAGTATCTCGGGAACCTGAAAAATTGGACAGATTCCCATTGCCCCATATCCACATAATATAACATATTATGTGATTCGGTTTTTTTGTGAAGCGGACGGTTAACGGAGGTGGCATTGGTCCATACAATTAATGTGATATTATGCGCCTATTATTATGATCCATATTAATAAAGCTAATTGGTAATACAGTCAAATTCGCTTATTACGATCTTCAAGGGATCATTATAACCGAACTTCGTTATATCCGGATTATAAAATGTAACAATACATAAGATATAAAATCAACCAAATACATTGCTTGGAATCGTTTTACTCGGAATATCGTTGTAAACGGCATCGTTATAAGTGAATTCGACTGTATACGTTGTCGTACGATAATTTTATTATTTACTCCATAGTTCGTAGTTTATTATACGTAAGTACACTACTTGACTGTACGAAATAACGGTGATGTCGTACATTAGAAACAGGTTCTTAGAACCATGGTCGTATGATATAAAATTATATATAATTTAAATCCCGTCTAGCAGAGTTAATTATTTTATACAGAGTACGCGTATGTACTTCATCAACATATGCTCATCACTGTTTTCTTTCTTGAATGCAGTTGTTTAAGTTCTATCATATTTGCAATTTTTAAATGTACGAGAACTTATTTTTTGAAATATTTTGTACTAGGTACAAAAGTTAGTACATTCACTAGACACTATTACTCCTAAGTTGACATAAATGTTTAATCACCTAGACAGACCACTGCGGGACTGCAGCTGCCAATGTGTAATAAAAAAGAATATAATAGGCTGCATTTTTAACGAAATACCTATTTAGTTATAATTAAAAAAAATATTTTAAGTTACGCATTCACGTGTATCTTGGTGTTAATTTAAAAAAATGAATGAACTTATATTTAACCAAGTTAAGTTAATATTGTTTCGATCAACTTTAAGCTTTTACAGTTGAATATATTATTATTATAGGTATTGATATTGACACACAGGACCATTGACTTGTAGTTTGGTACACCGGCAGTCTGCCTCTCTGCCAGCAACTCCTCCGGGTAATCTCAGTAAGTGGTCATCGTCGCGTTGATAGTACCTACACAGTCAGCCGACATTAATTAATCCCCCCTCAAACAAAAAAAAAAAAATTAAAATCCGGCGATGTGGTGACATTCAAGAAAGTGTTTGGTACCTACAACTCTGTGAAAAAAAAAAATTGTAAAAACGTTCAATAGTGTCGTTAGAAAATTGGAACATTTAAATATAACACCCACTCTAGACAAAAAAAAATTAAAAATCGAGCTATGTGATGATACTCAGGAGGTTATTTGGAACAACTGTGAAAAAAAAAATAGGTAAGTAATGTTGTTACAAAATGGGAATATAAAGGCCTGTTATTGCGGGCAGGAAGCCCCGAAAATTGAAAAATTAGATTTGTTATTTAATTTTTCAAGAATTTTATACTTATTTTTTAACAAAAAAAAGTGGTAATAAAACCAACAGCAGATTGTCAGATATAACAATAAAAAATTTCAGCCAAATCAGTTCAGTAATTTTTTTCAGTTAGTACGGTCATAGAAAACCTCTTATAATTGTATACAGTAGTAGAGATTGTTAATTTATTAACAAATTTAATAACCATAATTTATATTTGTATATTATATGAAGACTAAAGAATATTTTTTTTTTCTTATTATTAACCAAATTTTGGTGATTGGCAATATCATAAATAATACATTATGTGTGATGTTTTTAAGACATGGAAATTACAAATTCTGCTTAATACAATAAATATTATATTCTATTTAGATTGAATCTACAAATCTACAATTCATCAACTTTTGTACATATGTAGTGAGCTATAGTACAACTGAATCATTGACAATAGTTGTTATCAGTCAGATGGAAAATCTGTGTGCAACAAACTTAACAATGAAAATTATAAAATACACAATACTCAGTTGGTTAATTAATATTTATTTAAAATAGCTATTATATCACTTTCTATGTTACAAATATTTTAGTATACATTAATAATTAATGAAATATGATGTGAGACTATAAGAATAATATTATTAATAATAGCAGTTAGATTACTTCTAAAACATTAGTAAATAATCTAATATAGCTAGATAATGTATTAAGAATTATAAAATTGACTAAATTAACAAGTATGTTAAATACATATTTGTTTATAAAAAAAGTTTTTGTTTTAAAATTTATATAAATATGAGTAATACATATATAATAATTAAAAAAATTGTAATACAAAATTACTATCAGTAATAGACTAGCAAAGAATGTGGTCAACAATTGGAACAATCTTAAAATATAAAAGTATTACTGTAACAATAATATGGAATGAGAATTATTCAACTATAATTAATGACAATTACAACATATAATGGCTAACATAGAGTGAAAAAAAAAATAAAAAAAAATATAGAAAAGTTAGAAAAGGAAGGAATTATCCAATAATTACAATAATATGTATTTAAAAATATTTTAATAATACTAACTTGCTAACTACAAGTGAGAATACCATCAACTAATTTATCAATAATTTTTTAGAAACTTCTATATACTCATAAATTATGTCATAAAAAATGATTATATTAATAGATATATTTAAATATAATGGATAAATAAGATGGTTTTGATGTTTAAATAGCTATAATTTGACTCGTAAATAGTGTTCAATAATAAACTTAAGTAGTTAATTTCAAACATTTAATTGCTGAGTTCAAATTAGGAATCTGTAAAAAAAAAAATAATACAATTAACAAAATATAATATTATGCTTGTAATAATATCATTGAATTATATAAAATTTATATGTAATAAATTATTTATTTATTAGCGTCTAAAATTTTGTACAATAACTATTGGTAAGTGTTTCATATTGAAAAAAATACTAACATTTTGTGAAGCTTGGATATAGTGTTATTTAAAGCTCAGTAATCATGGTAGATGTTAATGCTTGAACTCTTTTAGCATTACAACTTTTACACAATACATGGTCATCTAATGGATAACATCCTCTACCTTCAGCTTCTGATCCTAATAAAGTATCACAATCCTAGAAAAAAGTCAATAAATTTATGATAAATTAAATTACATTAAAGATGACTTAAGATATATTTTTTTATACTAACTTCACATCTATAGCATTGTACATGGAAACTTCGGTCCAATGCTACAAATCTTACAGTTTCGTCTTGACCAACTTCTGGCATAATAGGAAATTGGCATACACTGCATTTTGGAGCAAATTTCCTGTGAATAAAAATGTGTTTACAGTTACATAAAATGTATTTTAAATAAACAGCAGTAAATAATTAAAATTTTTGTATTTATTATTAAATTATTTTATTTTTTTGAAAAATATTTATAGTATAAAATGTTGGAATTAACATTAATTGATTGTATTTGATGTAACTAGTTTAAACTGATAGAAAAATATATTAATATTTTAATGGTTAACCTGCCTATCTATCCACTTAATACCTAAACATTTAATTATTTTTAAAATTTTGATTATCTATTATTAATGTTTGCTGAGTATACAAGATGTCTTACTTGTGAAAATCATCAATACAATATATTTGATTGGCTGCATCAATAGTGAAGGGTATACCATCTAATAATGTAGAGCATACAATACATCGAAAACAATGTGGATGATATGGCCGTCCTGTTGCTCTTAGTATTCTATCCAAAATGGGTATTTGACAAACAGAACATTTTTCCAGTGTATCCTGAGAACAACATAAAGCAATGTGAAAATATTTGTTTTAATGTTATGATACAATTATAATATTTTATTAGTATACACTAATTCTACTATACAGAGATAATAATACTAATGAATAAAAATACTATTTTTCATAAAATTAATGAATGATAAATTTAAAACAAGGAAAATAAATATAATAAAAATGCAGAAAACGTTAAAAATTACTTTATGGATATTAATTTGTTTTCAATACACAATTTTAATGATAATTAACTGTTATTTAGGTAATCTATATAAGCGTATAAGTGTCATGTGCAAAATTAATTGTTATTATTATACTAAAAATATTGTTAACGCTGAATAGCTGAATTGAATCTTAAAAATAGTCAGAAATTATTATTTAACAGAATTTTTGATTAAAAAAAATAATAAACATAATTTATACTAGGAGGCAGTTAATGACATTTTAGTACAGTTATTTGATATATTTAGCAATACGTTGAAAATAATTTACTTTAAAGTACCTATTTACAGGTGCGATTATGTCACAATGTTAAATATTTTATTATAAATGAAATATGTTACCAAATAGCCCTCTTCACAGTATGGCTTGTTATCAATGTGATAAAATGGTTTTCCTTCTAATTGATCTCCGCAATGGGTACAGGTAAAACATTTTATATGATAAATATTACCCATCGCTGTGCATCCAAGACCTTCTTCCATTACTTTTTCATTGCATTTAGTACAATTCCCTATATATTCAACAAAGTAGTTACTTTTGTTAATAATTAACTCTTAAGTATAAGTAATAATATTATATATTCAACTTACAATCTAAAGAACTTGCATTACTATCTAAGCTTTTTTTCCCGTCATTGACTGACATTGAATTTACAAGGAGATCAGTTAGGGAATCAACTTCAGTTTCATGTTCACGAGTAGTAATGGACTGCGAAAGACTGCTCATTGAATATGTAGATGATAACTCACTAGGTGGACGAACAGCATTAATAGGCTCATAGATTGATTCATACATTTTTGATGCCTAATAGAAATAACAATTAAATTACAAATGCAGTGGTATTTTTAATATCTACTTACTTGTGAAGAAGAGTTATCAAAATCTTTTGCATCATCTTCGTAACTAACTGCTTTTTGAAGTTCAGAGTAACTAGAACTTACTGGAGATGGAGGACAATGTACGTTATCTTTACCTACTTCAAATTAATATAATGAATAATTAAAAATAAATTCAAATTATGTAAAAATAAGTAATAACAAACCTAATGGTTTTAAATTGTCATATAATGGATATTGAGTATTTTTATAAGTTGGTTTGCCTGTTTCAGCAATGTTAGAATATATGTTGTTGGATTTTGCATGGTAGTTTACATTGCTGTAAATCCCCTGGGAAGGTTGTGGCATTTTATTAGTCACTGTATTGTAGTAAGTGGGTTCATTCTGAGTAGTCAATTCTTCACTTTTATACTTTACTCCAGAAACATTGGCATATAATGGACTAGGCGATTTCTTGTACATATTTCTAAATCTAAGGTTTATACTGGATAAACGATAATAAAAATATTATTAGTCATCTTAGTGGAATTTGATGGAACAAATACTAAATCAATAATGAAATACTTTTGAGGATGGTCATTATTCTTACCTGGGAAAATATCTTGTTCACGGTCCCTTGTTTCTAAATATTTTGCTTTTTATTCGTTGATAGTTCGATTGATTGCAAATAATAATTATTCGAATGTAGTTTATTAGCTTGGAACAATTGAATAATGTATTAATGTATTGACTATTGATGCAAGATTACGGTTTATAATGAATAATGATTAATGAATAATAAATAGTAATATATTTTATTTTTTATTTGATAACGGAATGATATCATCAAAGTGGATAAGTATGACGTCATATTATAATATTATTCGGGCTTGTATCAATTCATGGAGAAAAAAGTGTTGGCAATAGAAAATCGGTGGGCTGTTTCGATATTCAATAATTATTTCAAATCTGTATTGGTGCACATTTGGCATAATATTAAACACCAACATCAGGCTTGCATTCTATCTTGTCTTAAACATAAGCTTTGTTAAAATTGAAATACAATAAATGCCTAATTAGGTACTTAACTAATATAAAGTATTATTGCTAAATTTGAGAACACGTCGAATTAGGTATCCTATAATATTAAAAACAACAGTGTAAATTGAATTAGGTATTTTGAACGTAAAACTTGCAATTTTATACGTTAATCAGACGCAGTCAATACGCACGGGTACGACAAGTAGGTACGTACAAAAAACATATTTTTGGAAAAATAGTTTAGGCTGTACGTTTTCAATGTAATTACAAGCTCGATGATAGGTAACATTTTTACTCTATAAAACATATTTAATAATTTTTCTAGTATATTTTTATTTTTTAAATATTATGGATAGACAATTTAAATTACACATTACAATGACAACAAAATATAAAAGGTAAAATGTGTTACAAAACGTACCTAACCATTTAATAAACTTAAATAGTTGTTTATTAGTACTTAATAAATATGTATATACATTAATCATTCGTGTATAATTTTATCAATATTGATGTAATCTGAAACAGAAACACTATAAAAAAAAAAAAATGTAAATAACTACAAGGTATGAGTGCACAATGCCCATCAGCCCCTGCACGCACTCCCCCTCCCCCAATCAAAGATCACCGTGGCCGCATCAATGAATAAAACGCTTTGACACTCTAAATTACCCATCTATCTCGTAAACTTGAATAAGTATGTAAAGTTTTTATGAATGACACGCGTTTGCACGTTATGTACAACGTACACACACCCAACATGAATGACTTACATAAATAAACAAAAATTGACTTTCTCTTCGATTCCGATTACATCTGACCGGATATTGTAACCGGTGAATACTATTATTATTGTATTATACCTACGTATATTAACAAACGCAATACGATATGATATTACAGATAGTTCCGTTTTGAGCATAGATGCTTTCTTGAATGCATGATAACGTAATATATTGTTATTTGTTACAAATAATGACATTACTACCTACCTACTGATGAGTATTAGTAGGTATTAATAATGGTATAGCGTGTATTACATCCGTAATTCATATAATAATAGCATTATAAAGAAATTATTTCATTTTATATAGGTACGATGTGTATTGCGTGTGAGTAGGTATATGTGACGCGTATATAAATTACAATATAATGCCTAAGCGAGAGTGATAAAATTCCCAGTTGCGTCACTTCTTTTATAAGCAAAAATCGTCGTAGAAAAAAGATAATTTATTTTATTATTAATTCAATGCGTATTCCATGGTTTTTAATCGACGGAATGTTTACTCACTCCTTTTTTTTTTTTTCAATAAAATAATTATTCAAAATCTGATTTTTGGAATTTTTAAATATGTTATTTAACTATCTATTTTCAAATAATTGAGGTTTTTTGTATTACTTGTTAGTGGTTTTTACCTATCTGGAGTCCTGGAGATATAGAGTTTTGTTTCTCAAATGAAAAATGTTCATTTTCTATTGTAAATTATTTAATGGATTATTTTTCAAAAATTTTTACGAAGTGAGATTTTCATATGAAAATAAAAGTTTTTATCGCTACAAGATACGTTATAAAAGTTATACAAAAAAATTTACATTCGATTTACGTTTAATAAAAAGATTATGTAAACAGAGTTGTGGAAAATCTCAACTAGATAATTATTGGAATAAAAATGTACTCGAATAATTTTTAAACATAACACTAATACAAAATATGTATTATAGAACGATTATAATTATTCTAGTAAGTCTACATGTATGTAGTATGTACCTCAGTAGTAACTATATATCAATGTCGAAGATGTTATTATTGTGTTTAGTAAAGAGTTTTGTACAATTTTATCCAGGTAATAATAAAATTATAATTATAATTATATAATTATTCAAATAATTATGAAAAATCATTCTACTAATATTTTATTCGGATAAAATATTATCTAAATAATCATTAAAATAAAATTTCATTTGTATAACGCCCTATTTTGGTTGTAAATACATTAATACGTACCTTATTAATAGATCTTGTTTAATGTTTAACTCTGAAAATCTTTGATTTATCTATTTGTTAATTAAAATTTTATACAGATAATTAAATATTTGTCAGTTCAACGTTGAGATTTAAACAATACTTATGTTACTTTATAATTAATCATTAACATTTATCGCAAATACCTACACAAAAACGAAAAAAAAAATCAATGAACGATCTCTCCGAGAGCTTTGCTTTTTTCAAAAATAACCCTCGCTGCGTTAACTACATTTTTCAAAAAATGAAACAATAGTTATTTGTCAAGACTTTATACAATACCAAAAAAAAAAAAAAAAAATGAATGGTAAGATAAAAATGTAGACTATAGAAAATATTATTTAGTATTTTCTGTAACAGAGATGAGAAATTCGTTCAATAGATTCAATATTGTTGCTGTGATTTCATTTGTCGATATATTTTATCAATTTTAAATACGGTAATGATATTATAAGCAATATCCTTTCACTCCTAGATCATTGTTAAATCAATATTATTCTGTTAGTCACAGTTTTGTTGTTATTGTGTATTTATGTCACCATAATATTGTGTCTACGATTCAAAATATAAAAGTTAAATTATAAACTGAATACGCAGATAATTTTTTTTGGTATACTATACTTACTAATAACTGTAGTTGTTAAAATTTCATGAAATTGTTTTTATAAAAAATTCTACGACCATTAATAATTAGAAAAATCTAATTTAATAATTTTTTTGAAATACTTATATTTATTATACATCAGGAAGGGATATTTTTAAAGACTATAAGACATTTTTGATCATTTTTTAATATATTATATATTTTTATTCGTATTAATAAGACACTTATTATTATAATAAAATGTCAATTTTTCATAGTTAAATAAAAGTAAAAATTTTAGTATCATAAAAATGTAAGTACTTTTATAATATACATAAATATTAATTATAGGTACTTGATAGTAATGATATAGATTTAATACATACTTGTATATTCGTGTTCAAAAGATAGTAATTCATAGTAAACGGTCTATAGTATAATTTTGCCTACATAACTTTTATTTTAAATCAATACTGTAGACATAGTAAAACTAGATCTTTAATTATAGTTAAATTAGAATGTAGTAAAAATATAACATTTATATTTGATTTAAACTAATCAAAACTTCATATTTTAATTCAGTAGGTACCTAATTTAAATATAATCAATTAATTAAATAATTATTGTTATCTTATTGTACATTTGTTAGTTGTGCTTATTTAATTAAATTTTTATTACATCAGAAAATTTCACTGAAACTTGATGAGTAAGTTAAGAAAGGAATATTTCACATTGGTCATTATAAATCGGGTTAGTATAGGATGTTACGAAATAAATTATTCCCTTACCATACAATCAATTAGCATTTATAATATGTTTTTAAAACTTTCGCTCGAATGTTACAAATAAAACTGTTTATTAATTATTATATTATATCACTTAATAAATAATAGAAAAAAAATAGGAATAATAATATTTTCTATTTCATAGGCATCACAGTATATTATAATATTATAAAAAAAAATTTTTATAATATGATTATGTTTAATGATTTGTTCAATTTTAATTTTGATTCTTTTATTAATACTATTCAGTAAGTACAGTTGTACTAGTATAATATAATTATAATTAATATTATAGTATTATAATTATTTAAGGAAGTTAAAATGTATACAATATAAGTGCTGGCAAACGTTGACAATATATTACAGTATTACACCTATTCATACATAACACGATACTATCTAAATAATTAAAAATTACTGAATACCAAAATATTGTTTGTGATTATGAATCGGTTATGATGACTTGCTACACATTTGCATTTTAAATATAACTAGTTTAAATGCGTTAACTGTCAAGAATAGACAAAAATAAATAAAACAGCACGTATTGAAATGTTAGATAGATGTACCTACAAAATAAAACTTCAAAGAGTTCGTTTTCTATTTTTATGATAGTAATGATCGAATTTACAAAAAGTTAGCAACCTATAGCTTTTTGGTAGTTTTTTTGATATATGAGTAGATACCCAATAAACCAAAATTTCGAGAAGGATTCATTGAAAAATGTTAACATTTCAATTGCATACAATTTGAATTTACCTATAACCCATTTGTTTCAGTTAAGTGATCGAGCTAACCTAGTTACGTATTTCATGAAACAAAAGTATAAATAATGTATACTGTATAGTGTATACATATGCATTATACAGATACTGACTAATGTCTTTAGTAGTTATATTAAGTATAAATTAAATATACTGCTCTCATGTTATTATTGTTTATTTCTTATAGTAATGTTTCTTTTTCCTTTTTAAAATAATGTTTTGGATTTATAAAGTTTGACCTCACATACGAGTATAAAATAGCATAGTCAATGGACATTGTCACATTGACTATCACAGTGTTCCACCTATTGATTTATTTTATCAAAATTCCACTAGTCTAATGGTTTTTAATTCTCTGGGTCGAAGAATTGTGTTTCAATTTTTTTCTTGTTGTTACGGTGTTAATATTACAGGTATCAATGGTACCATAACTCATTAATCATTATCATCAATTGATGATAAATGTCATTAATGATGATCATTATTAATTATTAGGTATCAATATATTTTTATTAATACTAAATAGATACGATATGTTGAACAAACATTTTTATTTTTTACTTTTACAATGTTTTAGTATATTATTTTTAAATTATCATTTGTAATTAATCAATTATTTGAATTTTATTTTAGCTTAAATACATTATAATATTGTGATTAATACATTTCTGCATTACCATAATAATATGACAAAAATAACTGATTTTCATTAAAAATAGTTATTAGGTACCTAAATGTAATATATTAAAATTAAATATGAATAAATTTATGTTTTTTTAAAATTACGTTAAAAATTAACTGCAGCTATTCTTATAAGTTCTGTAATATTGTTTCATTGTTTAAATACATACAATGTACAATAAACTAAAAAAGAAAAAGTAAGATTATGTGAACTAGTGAACTATGTGAACTAATATTGTGAATTGTTCTATTCATGCATCATGTGTATAATTTTTATAAATTTAAAGTTGAACGATTTTCATTTAACATCATGTTTTTAATTATTTGACGTTAGAATTACAATAAATTTTAATTTGTATATATATTTACAAATAAAAATAAAATATTGGACAAAACATTGTGTTTTATTGAAATATAAATACAATTAATAATAACTTATTATAATAAGTTACTTGAAAATTAAATTATTTCGTGTACCTATGATTTGTATGTAGGTACTTAGGTACTTATGATTAAATTTGGCTTTTTTTTACTTAAAAGTTTATTTGTGATGATTAAAATATAAAACTTAAATCTAATTTTACCGATTTATAATAATTTAGTATATGGTTATAAATACACGATATAACAATGAGTAAAATATATAATTTAATATTAATATATAGGATAACACACTTTTGTAGATAAATAAGTAAGTTATTACATATTTTAAATAATGTAATACATATTTCTTAAATACTTATTATGACCACTATTAAAATTTAATATTACTTAGGTACAGTTATATTTAAATATAATACTATATATTAAGCTTATAAATATTTAATTATTTATTTATTTACTATCATAACAATTACGAGGAAACTATTCTGTTTTTAAAGTTAATTTAACTTTTCTTATTTTACGATTAGTATATGGTCTTCCTTTTTTATAATACAATGATCTTCTTTTTCTATTTAGTGGTTTAGCTTCTTTTTCAGTTTTTGTGTCTTTATTTTCTATTTCTTCTGCAGGCTGTATTAAAATTGGTTGATATGATCTATTTAATGATCGTTGGAATTCTATTATATCATCATTATTTCTCATTTTTACCACGTCATAATCGAGGTACCTGAAATACACGAAAAAAAGTTTTAATAATAAATACTGATTAAATGTAATACAATTTGAATATTATTATTTTTGATTAACAATATTAAGATTTAAAGACGAATTGACACGGATTAATTTATTATTAATATTATTGATATTAATTTGTTTTAAAACTAATTAACCAAAATAAAAATGTTAACATTAAAATGTCTTGGTTTCATTTTTTCTAATTAATTATTATTAAAAAAATATTATAATTATCCTTGATATCTTTATATTATGTCATTTATGATTTTAACTTAAATTTAAATATTAATGATTTTTTATATAATTATTAATTTTTTTTATTTTTTTAACATTAGAAGATTTTTAATTTTTTGTATGATAGATATTTAATTTTAATAGCGATATTTTATTTAGTTTATATATTATAATTTTGTTCCATGTTTAAACATTTTTTGTATTTTTTATAAATTACATATTTATAAATAATGCAATTGAATATACAATATTATATACATTATACGCTATTTGTACCGCAGAAACGTGGAATAATTTATATTCTACAAGAGAAATAATAACTGATTTCAATTAGGCATATTATATAGAATTAAACCGTCACTAATAATTGTATAATATTTAGTTTGATTGAAAATAGAAAATTGATGGATGCAGCTAGATAAAAGAAAAAATGCAAATTATTCCAAAGGAAGCATTAAACATGTTTAAATAGTTATCAGCCAGTTGATATTTTTCTCAAGACTATATTTATACATAGTGCTCTCTCAATAATTTACTTAAAATAGGAGTTATAACTTATAGAAAGCAATATAAATAGTTATAAATAACGGTTACTTATTAGTGTATCTATACATGAATTTAACGATGGTCCTTATTCTAACGGATGAAAAGTGAAACGTGTCCTGTGTTGTTTAACCGTCAACCACGTTTTCATTTTGATTTCAATGTCATGCTCTGTGTGTTATTCAATATTTTGTTTAACTAAAATGTTCAGTCATGCTATCTGTCATTGGTGCTATGGACGTATTCTTACGATTTCTCTGCGATTGTCCAGTTTAGAGGGAGTCAATATTATATTGTACACTTGAATATTTATTCAATTGATTATCCGGAAAAAGTGAAACCTTGATATATTTATGTTTTGTACCTTTTTCTTTTTAAATTTTTCCGTCATCTCGTCAAAATATTAAATTAACGTGTTTTACTATTTTATTTAGGGAAATGCAAAATTAGACTTTATATACACATACGATATACAATCATCCACGCGTTATTGTTCATATTACATGCGATTAATGAATGGTGCATAACATTATGTATGCTTATAAATAAAGGTGTCGTAATTTTTCGGATTTCAATGAACTGTTGAGCTGCTATTGTATTTTTGGTGCATTATTACGCGTTTGTTTAGTCTTATTCAATATTTTTACAAACACAAGTTACGGTTATATATACCACAAGTTTTTACTCGATTCATTACGTTTATATGAACATATTTTATAAATATTGCATACACAATTATTGGACATTTTACTATATTATATAATAAAATATGATTAAAATAATGTTTAAAATATTATTCAATAGTTAAATTGTTTTTTTTTTTTTGTATCATGTAAAGTCATATGAATAAAAAGTTGTTGACCATCGGGTTTTAATTCATAATATTATTTTTTCTATTTGAAAAATATTGTATCAACTAACCTTCCTACTGCTACTGCACCTAGTCCTAAAGCTGCTCCTCCGGCTACCAGACCCAGTGCAGGTAACAAAATTGATGGTGTGGCTACCATACCAAGCTTTTCTTTGACCACATTAGTAAGTTCACGGTTTCCGTTTCCAAAACCTAAATTTCCTGTAATTTTGTGTGTAGCTTCCACTAATGGATCGACCACGGGTCTCGTCAAATCGGACATCTTATCGAAACTAGTTCTCATTTTATTTTTCATTAGGGTCCAAAACGATGCTTCATCATCATTAATATAATAACTAGGGCCATATTTTCCCTGTTTTTCGGGTAAACTATATTGCGGAGTGTATTTCTTAGGAACTTTTACTCTTGATTCTTTTTCTAAACCAGGTTCGAATGCATAAGGACTCCTATCTGCATGAATATCATGACCAAAATATGAAAGTGCTTGTTGTCTTCTACCGTCTCTTTGAGTTTCCTCTACAGAAGCAACAGGAACAGGAACAGGTGGTTCATATTTTGCCGCTTGAACGCCCAACTCTGGATGAGCATACTGTAGTACGGGGGTCCTTGCACTCTCTTCGAACGACAACCTTGACACTGTTTTTGGCGAATAGGCGGCAGAATTTGGGAAAACACTTATACTTGGTGCATGTAATACGCGAGCTTCCATTTTTGGCTCTAACATTCTAGATGTACGACCATTTCCTAAAATGTTTCCGTTTATATTCTTTATGTATCCAAGGATCTTATCTGTCATATATTTTTCATCATACGTATTTCGTTCTGCCGTAAATTGCTGCTGTTCGTTACTATTAATAGATTGAGTCTTTTCTAGCTCAGGTTTTTTCTTGTACACTTGCCAAACGCCATTGAACATTGGAGCAACTGGCTTATATTCTTCTTTTACAACGTGTTGATTAGTTTTATTTGTATTTGGAACTAAAATACCGTTGATAACCCTTGCGTTTCTCCAAACCTGTGTGTCATTTTCATCATCGGGTTCTCTAACCCCTGTAATGACAGGTATACCATCGGAATCCACATGAAAAAGACTTCTAGATTTTTTTTCCTCATCTTTTTGGTTTTTAACAAAGACCGAATCCGATCGTATGACGACAGGATCTGGTACTTTAGGTGTATTTCCATTACTTATTGATACCAACTGTAAGTCTGGTTTGGGTGTTGATTCTGTAAATTGTTGTCTACCATCACGTTTCTTTACAACTATGGTGGCAATGTCTCCCGTTCGAGTTTTTACTTCTAACGTTTCCATGGCATCGGGATCTAGATTTCTGGCTACTTTAATAGATGTTCTGGTCATTTGAACATTATTGTTATCGGAAGCACCGTTAACAATAAGAGGTAATATAATAAACAAGAATGATATTTTCCACATCTGAAAAAGAAATATATATTGTTAATTAGTTTTAAACTATATTATTGTATGTATTTGTATTAAAATACATTTAACAGTTACGTATTTTATACAATACTTGAAATAATTTTAAAATCTAATTAAATTTGTGTTCTATAATACGTATTTAAAAAAAACAGGTCAAATATTTAAATATATTGAATATTATATATGCATAACATTCACAACACCATAAAAGTTTGTGACATATGTTCAGTTCTATAATTAATATTTTAGATTTACCTGTACTAAATTCGTTTTCTAGCATTTAACTATGAAAAATATTAATATTAATTTGCTTAGAAAATTATATTTAATATGTTTGTCCTCATTTTTTTTTTTTAGCAATTCTACTGAACAAAATAATATTTAAACAAACAGTAATATTCTAAAGTTGTATCATCAACATTCGGGCCAATATAAACTCGCTCACATAGCCAATAAAGCAATGCATCATGCTACTTGTTTATTAGAAACATGAACCATAATTTTTTTAATGTTAAATTCATATATATATATATATATATAATTTAATATGACGAACTAAAGTCGAAAAGAAATAAAACATTATATGATTATTTCATTGCATTTATACGTTGCGAGTGCCATTGACCTTAGAATCGAAGTTTACTTTCCCTTCTGCAACACTTATTCTAGACAGGTCCCAACGGTGAAACGCATTGCTTCGTCTTCTATCTGATTAAATATATGCATGTTCCGGAATAGTATAGCAAAATTAATAATAGAAATAATAAGAAGGAGAATCCATATTATTGAAGAGCGGATAAAATGAAAAAATAACTGTAGATGGAATAATTGTCATTAGGCTATTAGGCTTTTCAGTTCAATGTTTAAGCCTAATGACATTGTAAATATCAGTAGTAATCATGAGTTTCTCACACTTTCACTTAGTTTACCGGATGCTTCCGCCAATGTCACGAACGTTTGTGGTAATTGAAATTAAAAATAATGTATGTTTAGCGGGAAAATATATGACTAATCAACGAAACTGTCATTTTAATCACGTTATCATACCGATTATATTTTATCAATTGAAGAACACTAAACTATGTTTTCATTATAGATATTTAATTGTAAAAAATGTTCGTTAAATCATTTTTAGAAATTGTATTTTATAATAGGTATTTATAAAAATAATTAGTCATTTTATCAATTAATATCATACACAAAATAAATACATTAAAATTAATTTTCTATAATGGTGAAAATATTTAATTTATAATATAGGGTCAAAGAGTGACAGGGTATTAAGTAAAGAACAAGACAATTTTAGTTATTTAAATAAAAATAAAAGAAAAATACATATGAAAAAAATTTGTTAAATTTTGTTTATATATTATTTTTTTGTATGATTTTAAACAACTAAAATCCATTAAAATTTTTAGATTTCTATTAAAAAAATTAATTTAATAAATCACTCTTAACAAGATGTAATTTGATTTTAAATTTATTAATCTCTTTAAATAATTGTATTTTATACACTTAATGAAGTAGAAATGCCATAACCGACAATGATAAATTATGAATGTGCGAGAAGTTTAAAAAGGCTAATTATAATATAGTATATTTTAATATTATGTACCTATTATCTATGTAAAATTGTAATGTATATCGTCAAAATCAACAGTTAATTTTAATATATTTTAATATTACTATGTTGAACAAATTATTGGTGTTTCAGTTTTATTTATTTGTTTATTGTTTGTATATATTATGGTAAAATAATATCAAGAAACGAATAATAATATTTTTTTAATTTTATAGTATGGTTATTATTATTCATCTTGTATGGAAATTTATTTTAAAAACATTATAAGACATGAGTTAATATGAGAACACGATGTCAGTAATAACGGTCGTCGTAACGTTATACATTTGTAGTTTATATACGAGTACTCAAAAAATGATTTAAACATTTTTTTTATCCTCTCATTAAAATGTGTATATTTTTCAATATCATAGTAGGTATCCATGTGATTTTCCCTTATAAACAACCAATACTTAAACAGGTTTTTGTTTCGACCGTTTACACCCTATGGTTTCTATATTAATTGTATTTGTTTGGGGGGGAACGTCTAAACCGGCATTGTAAGACATTTAAATAATAGTCTATTGTTACATAATTTATTTTTTTAACCGTAACAAAATATCATTATAACTATATAACATCCATGCTTATGTGTTTACTTTTATAATAGAACGATTATACTATAATATAATATCGCATTTTTTTGTGTAGGTATATTATATATTATTTTATCAGAGTATAAGTATGCATGAATAGCAGTTTTTCGAATATTTTTGTTATTATAAAGATTATGTCTTACAATTTTCTGTTTGCATAATAGACATCTATATGGTATTAATTTATAAATATAAGTCTATAATATGAAAGTTGGGTTTGTTATTCCAACACGTGTGTCCGATTGTAAAAGTTATAAAATGTAAGCATCATGACTATAAACTGTAATCACTAATCAAATATTAAATGAGTCAAAATAATAAATGTAAATTTATTTTTATGCTTAACAAATTGTATATTAAGAATAAATGGAATTCATTTTATTGCTAGATAAATATTATTAACAACGATTAATTAAATTTGACAATTTTTTCTAGGCATAAATACGATTTTTCAATGCAATAATTTAAAAAAAAAAGCATCTATGAAACTTACTATTGTAAAGTATTTAATAAGCGATATGATCATCTTTAAAAAAATATATTATATACACGGATAAATCAAAAACTGAACTTACCTTTTTTCAATTAGTATTTATTATCCTTTAAATGCACAAGACACTGTATTTAGTAAACAAACTCTATCTTACAACGTTAAGTGTACACTGGTTCAGTCTTATCGGAATTTCAGTTTGGTTTTAAAAAGTAAAAATGTTCACATTTCACTTTCTACCATCGACCGTACCGTACTTACAACAAGCCACACAAGACTAACCCAATGTCGTAGTACTCTAGTCGGTACGCACCGATGCTTTCTTTCACTCATTAACTAATTTCCCCTGCTCTCACGTGGCACAGTTGCTTGTACGTAATATGTATATATATTTATGCTATATGATACTATATGCGTATTGGTACACCCATTTGTAAGTAACTTATGGCAAACCAATACGATGTAAAGGAAATATATTAATTTATTTTATTCAGGTAGGTACATTATTATTTGTATTGGAAAATGTATCTACAGGTATACCGTAATATAATCTATGTGTAATATAAATACATTAATGTATATATATTTTTTTTATTGAAATAATAAAAATAAATGCATATATTTTTTATTTTGAGACCGTTTTAACTACACAAACAATTGAACATATTATAATTAAATAAAATTAACAAGAATTCAATATAGTGTTTGAAATAAGAGTAAAAGTAAAATTAAATTAAAAATTTTAATTTATAAATTGTAGGAAAATAACAATGATTATAATTCTATAAATTAGACTCGAGAGAATAAATGTAATAACTAATTATTGTTATCAACAATAAGTTTATAAGTCGTATAATATTGGTGATAATTTACACAGCAATTAAACTATATTTTGTTTCTATTAAGATTTAAGGTATTTTTTTTTTTTATGTTCTAAGAAATAAAACTATGCATAAAACTATCACTAAACAATATTTTTGTTTTCATTCAAAAAAAAAAAAAAATACCATTTATATTTTATATTTTTATGTTTGATTGTATTGCACATGATTAAGATGTTAAATGCGAATTTTCGATCAATTCATGTTTTTAGTTTGTTACAATAATAAAAGTGACCCCATTTTTTTATTTATAGTGATACATTTACTATTTAGTAAACTTCATATTATGTAATATGTGCGATTTAATATCACATTTAAATACTCTATTTATTTTATTTATAAAATAAGATTAAATTTTCATAACCATTTTTTATATTTTGTAACATAGGTTATATAGGTACTTAAATTTTTTTATTATAAATGGATCTTTTTATTTTTGAAAATTAAAACTTAATTTATCTAAACTACAACATTAAAATGAGTTAATTTAATGATCAATATTTTAATTCTGAAAATAAATTTGGGTTTATAATAATATTAAAGTGATGCGTTTAAATATAATATTTTATATAGAAAACTTAAAAAAGTTATATATATATATATATATATATATATATTATTTTTTTATTATCAAAGTGGTAATAAATTAATAGATTTAAGATTTTACCTATGTTATTAGGCTTTGAGATATATGTGTAATATAATATTAATTTATTGAATATTTTGGTAAATCATCATTGTCATTTAAAATGATTTCCGATAATTGCATTTGTCTGCGTTTGTACATGTTTCTAAATTTCTAACATAATGAATAATACAGCAAAGTCATTGCGTTTTTATTGATAGTTTTATTGTAATATTTTTACAATTTGAAATTCCGTACACACCCGACAGTTATTGTAAAAAAGACATAAAAATGAATTGAAGAATATTCTTCAAAAACATATTTATCATCTTATTTTCATGACGAAGAAAATACGTTTTTATGATTTTGACGATTCCTACTTCTCAATGCATCTTTTTGTATATGTCGATTTCCACTTAAAACTACTTACAAAGTATGCGCAGTTGAGTGAATGTGTGACTATGTTTTGTGCACGTGTATAATTGTTTATAGTATATAAACTTATAAGGCCTACATATAGTGACATTCACACTTCTGTCAAATCATTTGTAAACACGTGAAAGCTAAATTTTCATTATAATACAAACAACTATCAATAGGGTAATATCAAAATGTACATTTTTGAAGTAGTTTTAAGAAACTATATAATATATTATTAAACAATCACCTTATTAATGTAATATAATAAACAATAAAATTATTATACACTATTTTTAAATTTTAAATTAAATTAAATTATTTACTATAGTATGTAGGAAATTTTGGGGACAACAACTGCAGGACAAACTTAATCAGCAGAATTAACATATATTTCAAAAACTTAATTTAAAAATGCCTGTACTTTGTCTCCTGCAGGTTAAATTACGTATACTATGACATCGTCAACAAAACACTGATCCACTCCATTTCAGCTTAGAAAAGGTAAACCAAAAAATATTCTTAAAGTCTTACTTTATTCTGATCTTTGATCTTAATATACATTGGTTAATCTAAGACTTTGATTTTTTTTCATCAATTTTGTCCAAGATGGAAATGAAATTTTTTGATTTCAATCAAGGGTTAAATGTGTTTTGTAGCATTATATATAGCTATTTAGAAAACAATGAAAATTCGATTTGGTAAAAATATAAAGTCAATTGAGCAATAAGTTACAATATGTTTGAAAAATTGAATGTTAGTACCAAGCTTATTTTTGCCTAGTATTTCAATTGCCAATGATATATATATATAATTTATTATTATTTAATTCATGAATTGTGAAAATTTGATGAAAGAACTTTAGACAGCTTTTAAATATTCTATCAACGTAAATATTACACGTGTATTACAAAACTTTTTAAATCAGTAATTGTTGAAAAAATAATTATATTGGTATGAATGTCATTAGTTATTATAAAAAGTTCACCAGTATTTGTTAATATTTCTGTATTTTATTTAAATCATTTTGTGTTTCTAAGAACTTTTAGGCATTCTTGGGTGAATACTTTTACGTGTATTTCGTATATTTTATTTGATAAGTATTATATCTGATAATTTAAAAGGTGGTAAATCAATCGCTCTTATTTTTATGTGAATTCATTTATTTGGTTTAGTCAATATGTTAAGAATTGCTTGTTTTTTAGTATATTTTTAAATTGTCTATTCAGTGTTTCTTCGTATAATTTTTTATGATTGTGGTTATCAGAATTAAAAATAATAAAATTATCATTGTTCAATTTCAAATAACACTTAAAAGAATTTAAGTAGGTAGTCCATGGTTGAATATCGTTTATTAGTATCTTATGAATTCGAGATTATGTTTTTCTACAATAAAAACTGTCTTGTTTCGTCTACTTGTCATTGCATTCATTGTGTGACTTATAATTTATAACAAAGAATTTTAAGAACTGTAATTTGAAGTTAAACACTTGAACTACAACTGGTGTCTAGTCGTCATGGTCATCGGTCATATTTGACGATAAGTTTTTTTGATAATCGGTAAACGGATAATTTTAACAGTCATAAGATCTTTCCAAATATTATTCGCAAATCGGCAAATCGGTAATCGATAATCACTAATTGGAGTCTACACAGTATAGATTTAATACAAAGACTTTTCCTTTTTATGAATAACACCGTCATTTATAAATTGTTTTTTCGAAAAATTAAATTATGTTATTATTTGGGACTTAATTTACTTGTCACGTTAAAATTTTTCGGACACAATTTTCCTTCCCCCAATATTCATTCAATTATTTGGGACTCAGTTTATCATTCCCCTGAAATTATTACTATAAATTTGCATAATGAATAATGTGTTCTTATAGTTATAAATAACTTTGTAGTATTGATATGATGATATTAGGTACATATTAAGTTTACCATCTTTTTATACCATCGATTAAGGTACTAATAACTTAAGTCACGATTTATACTAGTAAGTTCTAATTTAGTGATAATAATTGATTGTTAAATCATTTATAAAAAATGTCTATATAGGAATGTTTTCTTTGTATTAGTATTTTATAAGATACTTAACAACTTGACTACTATGAGATTCTTTCTGAGATCTCTCCAGACTTTAATTCCCTTCCATCAGTTTAAAAAAAAAACTTGTATAAAATGACAGGCTATTTTTTTTTATTTTTCAACTTAAAACTTAACATGAAGTAGATATTTTATTAGTTTTTTGATTTTTAAAATGTGAGATTTCATATAGAATCTCATAGTATTGCAAATTAATTTTTTCGTTGTTATCAAAATATCCCTTAAACAGAAATTCCACCTGAAATCTCAAAACTATTTTTTATTTCAAATGTAATAATTAACTATAAATGTATAAGCTTAACTATAGTAGTGAAAATTTAAAAATAGTATAAGTAGTATCCAAATTATTTTAATGACTTCATGACTTGTAGTATCAAAATTATGGTTTAACATAAAACATATTCTTATCAATGATAAAACTTAAAAAAAACTATGTGTGCCGTATAATAATATTAAAATAATTGTAAACAATTATTTCATATACAATATTTGTAGAGAAAAAGTTCACTTATTTAAAATATGCGATAACTCTTACAAAAATAATATTTTTAGTGTGCTATTAAAAAAGATGTGTAGAAGACGCACTGTATAATTAAATTACATAATAAAACGGCTAAAAAATAAGATTCCCTATGAGAACTCATTTAATTAAAAAAAAATATTGTCCTAGATTTCGTATGGAATCTCATTTCAGGCAATTAAAGTTTTAAAAAAAATCCTTAGCATACAAGTTTTTAAAATGTAATATGTATGTATGTACCTAAACTAATAAAAACATACAACTCAAAGTATAATTATTTGTTTTTTTTTTATAGTAATTTAGCAAAATAATTACCATTTATTATTAATTACCGTGAATATTATAGGTGGTTACTACTTAATACTATGTATTACTACGTATGATCAAAGCCGTATGTTTATTGGGACAATAATTGTATGACTTTTTATTTTCTGGTTTGACAAATGGATTTTAAAATAATATACAATGTGTATTGTACGTGTATAAGTTTCGAGTGTTTGGAATTACATGATAGTAACAAAAGGGTAAACACCTTGGTACTTATTGTTAAAGTTTAAATATTATTAATTATTATTGCACGTAATGCAAGTGTATAAATAAGTATACTTAGCTAATCTCGTATCATTTTGAGAGTAAAGAAAAGGACATTTGAAAATAACCAAGGTTTAAAAGAAGTTTACCTATCTAAAAAGACTAACTATAGCTTCATATCTACCTGAAAAAAGTTTCGTGCTTAATACAATGTATAGATATAATAAGTATCTACAATATTAATTGTAAGATTATTTTGGATTATTATGAGTCTATTGAGTACTTGAGTACATAATTAACTTGAAGAACATGTCGAAAAATTTAGTTATTAATTCGTTTTTAACAAATACTGAAATATTACAGTATTTTTAAACATAAATTGTATATGATATACCTAACTATTTATCATTATATAATTTAAATCTACTGCTGACTATAGAACTTAATTTATTAATAGAACATTTATAATACTATATAGCAAAAATGTTAAGAAACAAATTGTTGGAAAAAAAATAAATACTGTGAACGTAAGAAAATATTTACGTAATTTATCAAACTAAAATAAAACCAATTTTCACTACGCATTTTTTGTTTTACTTAAAATATTTAAAACGAATTCATCTTAACTATTTATGCTTTAGAAAAAACCACGAATCAAACAATATGCTTTAATCATGCGCATATATATTCTAATTTAAATAATATTGTATTCTCAATTATTTTGTAATTAGTAGAAAGTTGTTAGTATCACCTCCAGTGAAATTTCAAGATGGTAAAAAGCCAAACAATTGTGGAATTCTTTAAATTACTCAATTTAGATTTAATTTTAATATTAAAGCTATCAATGGTTGCATTTGTGTACAACATAAAATATAACTACATAATTCTAAATTATAACTAAAAAAAATGTATTTTAAGTGACGAATATCAATATATTTGTTAAAGCTGATTTTTACAGTGATAATTTATATATATATATACAAACTGTTACATGTTACCTTGTATGAAATAAACATAATTTAAAATAGTAGACATTTTAAAACAGTATTTTAAAACAAATTCATTGTTTTGTATCTACTAAAAAAGTTGATTCTTTATATTTAAGTATACCCGTATAAATTATAGTAACAATATTATTACTTTCAAATTGTCTTCATTCATCAATTATTATTGATTATGTTTCAACATTTTGTGTAATATAATATATTTAACTTACAATTTTTTGTGTTCACGAAAACAAAAGAGAAAACAAATAGTGCATGGACATTTTTTAAAAATACATAACCATTGATAATCATATATTATTGTTTAATTAAACTATTCAATTAAAATGTGTGTAACTTATCATATTCTATATTTATGACTATGTAACTATTGATGAATTTTATTTTTAATTCATGTCCATGTCTATAATATTGAAACAATAGATTAAACTAAGTCGTTTTAAATAAATATATATATATATATGCACATGTAATATAGTATACAATAAACACAATTAAAGATTTGTAGAAGATAATTCATAATTTATTGTAGATATGGTTAAAATAATTATTATAAACCAGATAGTTTAGTAAAAATAAAAATCACATGCTTTTTGCTCGCTTATATGTTTATAATATTTTTCACTTATATAACGTTAAAAAGTAGTTGACCTTTAATAATTAATATATTTTTTATTTATTTTACACGAAAGAGCGAAAAAAATTATCATTTTACACATAATGTATACGTATAGTAATGTCTTTAGAAAATAATTAAGAATAATAAAGTAGATATTTATAATAATTTTATTCAGAAAGTTGTTTAAAGAATACGTTATCATATTCTTGGTATAATTAGTAAGTATATAATATATTAGCATACATAAAACAATAGTAAAGGTAAGTGTAAAACTAAATTAATAGATTTCGACGAATATTACAAAACTATTAATTTATTGAATATCAATATAGTTAAGATTACAAGACATACTAACGAATGTATTTATGTACATATGCTTTTTCTCTGTACCTATGTGATTTCACTAAAATCGTTTCCGATGACCTAGCTAAAGAAAATTTGACAAAGAAATAAAAATAAATTTAAGATTATCTTTAAAATGTATTACACTGAAAGCATACCGATAGGTAATAAATAAAGCAGTGATCCATTAGAATTCATAATATGCGGTTATTTATTCTGGGACCGACATGGAAATCCATTTAATGACTAATGATTGAAATAAAAATACATAGAAATATAGTCAATAAGATAATATTATGACGGAGATCAGAGTCACCGATTTTCGAAGATTAGTACTGACTTCAGTGGCCACTCTAATCGCCGTCTCTCTTCTCCGATCGGGTGCATAATTTATCATAAAATACCCATTACCAACATCTAAACATATAAAATCTATCTGTCAAATATTACATAGGTAAAATATTTATCTCTCGATGACTTGGGCGATCCATTACACCGAGTGTCTTAAACTTGAAAAACAATTTGAAGCGGGGTGAGATTATAATCCAAAGTTTGTTAAAAGACGGGTTATTATTTTGATGTTTTTACGTTCAAATAAAAAAGATAAATAAGTAAAATTAGAAATGTATTGGTTTACAATTATGTGTTTTTTTTTTAATTTGAGCATTAATTACTAAAAAAATATTTAAGGAACATAATGTAAAGGTTTTTTAAATTTGAACAGTTGATTTTTTTTTTTTTTTTTAATGTGATGATTATTAATTACTTTTAATTATTAAAAATAATGTCAAAACACTATTTTTCACCGAGATAATTGATGCGAAACCAGTGCTATTATTTATGTATCGTGATCAACTTTTTCTTATTTCCCCTTGATTTTTGCATATTGTTTAAAAAAAAATAAGGTGCAGGAAATTGATTTTCTGTTAAGTGAAATTATGTTTATTTATCCAATTTTGAATTCATAGATGCAGGCATGAAATTTTTTGAACTGGGTTCTTTTTACAGTTGATTAATTTTTTTTTCCAAACCAGTATAAGTTTTAATTAATAAGTGTATAATATTATGCTTCACTTTACTAAGAATATAATATAATTATGAAATGAATATTTTATTACATCGATAGATAATGTTTAACTTGTGTAAAAGAGAAATAAATTACCTACTTTATAGTATATTACTATTGGTAGTATGATTTACGTATATCGGTATATCTTATACTATGTAACATTTTAAAACTTTCGAAATGACGTATTTTATAAATTAAAATGCTTAATTGAAGATGTGTTAGTAAAAAATATATTTATTAATCAAAAATAATAGAATTATGAGATGACGGCATGCACAATTTGGTTAGGAATTGAACGTTTTATTAAAAAACTTCTAAAAGATTTATCGTCGACCTTAATATGCACTTGCTAGTACACATGACAAGATATTAAATCATAACATAAAATCTACAATGTCTGAAGAGAGAGGAATGTATTTATAATCGCTGGGGAGTTATTTAATTTCGCAGTTAAGCGTGTCTGTGCGTGTTGTTCTTCGGTTTTACTTTTTCGTGCTACTTACAATAAATACGCTACACTCCGTTAAACGCTTTATCGAAACGATCGGCAGACGAAATCGAATGTATGCGCATATAAAAATGTACACAACCGTATTGCATAGTATGACGCGTAGTGTATAATATACTCATTTTTTTAATAAATTAAAATATTTATGTCAAGTAAATATTATTCATTTGGGATTTTGTATTTAACGTCGTGTAATAATTATTATACTATTTACTATATAGCAACGTACAAGCAATATTTAGATTAGACAATCATAACGATGACTCTAAAGAAATTAAAAAAATATATCTAATCATAGACGATTTTGAGTTGATCAAAAAATATGAAGTCATATTATGACGGTTTGATAGCAACGATGATTTTGTATCTTACTGACAGATATGGTTTGAGAGAATAAATTATCAATATTAGAAGTTTAATATTTATTACTTTAAAGCGGAAAAAAAATGCACATTGTGTAAACACACACAATATCTACATCTAAAAGTATGATATATCATTATGTATAATAATGCAATATTATCCAGATAATGCTTAAATAATGTATCGATTTGGCCCAAATGATATAATATAATATATAATGTGAAAAAACAGTGATTTTCGAATTTCCATCCGGTTTGAGTTTTGAAAAAGAAAATATTGTACGAAGGTATCTACCATCCATTGAATATATATTATTATACTATACGCATTCTCGTATTTGTTTTATAAATATAAGTTACAATATAAATCGCATTATAAGTTTGCCTATATTATGAGCCTGTTCGTCTGTATGATTGAGGAACGCGTCAAAAGCCACAAAAGAAAGCGATATCCGTTATGTATAAGAATGTGTCATCAACCACATTCTTAGACAAAATTCATCAGGCAGATTTAATTTTTTATTATTATTTATTTATGGTTATCGTGGAACGAAAGTTCGCCCAGGGCCAAGTCAACTTCCGATAACCAGCCATTAAAACGTGTCTGCATTCCGTGCATTAATGGAATTCTCGCGGTCCGAACGGTATACATAAAAATTGTGGTTACTGTGTTGATATTATAAAAATGTACCTATAAATACAAGCTACCAGGTATATTATATTATTATTATCATTATTATTGCAGATAGTGCCTATATATATATAAATATATGTTTATGTATGTATGTATACACAACACGACAGAGACGCCCAGCTTGTTCAATCAGTGCAAGCGAATACTTGACACGATTCCGGCTCTGCAGACGTTGCTACTTCTGTGATTTCCACCATCGTCGGGCCATTGTCCGTGGTCCAACTGAAAATAATAAGATGATAATAATATGTGTCCATAACTTTATACTGCGGCTAAAGATGTGTATACCTTTAATACGAAGATGCCATACAGACGTAGTATGTCGTCTCCGTCCTACAAACGTACAACATATCCAACTTATAAATTTAGTCGAACCGATTTTGTGTCGTTAAATTTACAATTGTAACGAATATTTTTTGAATTTTTATCAAACTTAAAGGTAAAAAAAATTCTGTAGTTAAAAATAATATTATCTGTGTGCGTTCTTTTTTATTGTGATCTTTAAATGTTTAAGCAAGTTAGATGAGTCTGTAAACTATTACAGTACAAAAGTGTTAATGCGATTTGCTAGAAAATTAAAATATCGTAAAAACCAACATAAAAGTACAGATAGAATTCTTATCTTTAAGTTTGATAATAGGTTTCTCTAATAAATCCACTCTAATGCGTAGGTATTATAACTAACAATACAAAATTGGTTCCGCTAAACACAAATTTGCTGTGTTGTACGTGTGTGAAATGGAAACAAAATAATATTATGTAGATGTGAGTGTGTGTCGTACTCTTAAATCGTGTCGTTTCTTTTAAATATTATCACGTTAAATTTAATCGCCATGACCATAGTATTTTATCGTATTCCATTGATAACTCATATATGAATAATTGGAAAACATGCGGGGGCCCGCCACAGTGAAATAATTATTCAAAGCTTATAATATTTTTGTTTTAATTCAAATGTGTGGGTCAATTTTAATACATTATTAAATTTTATTTTTCTTAGTAGGCGCCTATAATAACTTTATTGTTATTATTAAAGTCGGTTATTGCAAGTACCACTCGATTGAAATTATTTAATAATTATTTTGTATTTAGGTACTGGTCAATATACATTTTTGTCATTTTTAACAAATAATTATTCGTTATTTTTAAAAACATGACACTTATTACTCATAATTTGTAAGTAATATGTATTAATATTATGTTTCAATTAATATAGTAACATATTGTAGTGCAATTATAATTTAGTAGACATTTCATAAATTTTTAAAATCTGCGTTATCAATATTATTTATTTAGTTGCCGGTTGGTGCTTAAATAATTTAATTAATCTTACTTTAACTGATAGTTTTGCAGTAGAGTTTTCAATTCACTATGCGAATAGTTACTCTTTAGGGTTTCGCATATTTTTTTTTTTAAACAATCATTTAAATATCCGGGCGATTTGTCTGCTCCGTCAATTTTCAATTCCGTGCTCATCTTTCTCGATGCCTTATACTTCCCAGTAATAACATTAGGACTGAATGTCGTCGAATTCTTTTGAAATCTATACCAAAGATAAGTATAAAATATTATTATATCAAATTTAGGCTATAATATTTCATGTATACGTAAACAAATAACAACTTTGAACTTTTTTAAATTGAAACATTTGACCATAAGCATTATTTATGTATGATGTAAAACACACTATTTTTTTATAACACCGTTCAACTTGATTCTTTCCTAGTTATTATTATACTTTTATAGCATGTAATAGTATAATATAAACTTTATTTGTTTTTAAAAAATATATAAATATGTATAAACTATAATACAATAAGTTCACTATTAAACATATTACAAAGAAATTATTTTGGACGTTTTTACAGGAAACAAGTCATAAGCGTATTACTAGAGGTTGTCCAGACAAAAGTTATTAGTCTGCATTTAAACTTCAATACGTCAGAGCGTGGAAATTAATCGTATCTACAATAATATCTATGCGCTCTAATAACGTAATAGAAGGATCCTGTAGTGAAGTCGAATAATTACTAATATATGTGTATATAATGCAGTTGTAGCGCACGCAAACGTCGGTGATCGTCCAATTTTAGAAATATTTCCAAAAAAAAAAAACAAGTCTAATTAGTTGTTTTCACTTTTTAGGCCATGGAATTCGATAATAATCTACGGGTAAGCACATGCGCGCGCCATGAGAACATTATTCGAATAGTCGAATTATGGATGTTAAATATAATAGAGACCGTCGACCGTCAAACATATTTCCTCGGTAGAACGCATCTACACAGGAATATCGCGTACACAAGTACTAACGAGATGAAAATAATATTAATTAATAGTAATAATAGTGAACTCACGAGTTAAACGTGAGTAAGTAGACAAACGAAACATACTTAAAAAGTCACAACTATGACCTTTGTGCAACTAAAGATTTCTCCACAGGGTGCGGCGGTCGGCTGTAGTCCATAAGTCTTGCATCAGTTTTTACGCGCGTATATATAGAATGATTCACTATGCATGATTATAAATTGCTCACCTCCTTTTATTTAACAATTTAGTCATTTTCGGAATTTTTTGTATAGGTACTCTGATGATTTTTTTAAATTCTTAAAGTTGTTTGCATTACTTATGGAGTATCTTGAAAATATTATACAAAATTAAGGTTTTTTCAAATGTGACCTTTATGTTATACTATAAATATTAATTAGCGTATATTTTTTTTTGAAAATGGCCTAAGTATAATAAAACAAATATTAGATTCATTATACATTATTACTTCCATTTTGTATTTTTATACATCCATTTTTAAGGACCTAAGTAAAAATATTTAATTACGCTTGTTCAAATTTTGAATTATTTACAAAAATATTTTCAAAAAAATTATCTACTAAATAATTTAAAAAAGAGAAGAAGAATTTTTGTTTTGAAAAACAAATGTTTATATCGTCATAGAATACTCATTAAGCAGTACAAAAATTCTATAATTTAATTCCATAAATCAGAATTTGAATAAATTTAAGATTATAGGAATAAATTGGGGTGGGGTGGTAGACGTGTGATGAGTATATATTTTGTGAATAACGCTATTTAATTGTTGGGAGACAATAATTATTATTGTATTATGACTATAGGTACCATAGGTATATGTACCACATAAAATATATATATGCGGTTGACTCGGTGTATTATATTATTTATAATACTACCGGCGACTGATGTGTATTATTTTATTCTCTCGTTTTTCTCGAATCGTATCTGTATGACAGCGTAATCGCAAAAACTACAAACACACACACACACACACACTAACGTAATACACCCAACACCCACACAAAATGAGAAGCTATAAATGCGTGTATTATGGGTATTGCGGTGGGTTGTGCTATTGTCGTCAGCTCGTCGTGTGTGTATATAATATAAATATATATATATATACGTGCACGTAAAGCCAAGACGCTTTCACCCGCACGAAACGTCACCGTGGCACGAAGTCTCCCGATTAGAGAGAACGGTTTACTTGGTCGTCGTCGTTGGGCTGTGCGATCTACCGTATAAGGACGCACTTTTCACCGGGTGCAGTTATTCGCGATTATGACCGCCGCGTAGATTTCCCCTTTCCCCGCCCTGTTTTCTACATCGTACCTAGCCGAATGTATACACACACATATATATATAAGTACACTAAGTTGGTCGCTGTAACGATGTTTATTTTATATATAATATATCAATGATGACAAAGTAAAAAACATAGAATAAGAGCAACCAAAAATGGAGCTACCGGGCCACGATGCGGTTAAGTTAGGTTAAGTCGTTTAAGCTCCGCTTTACATAGAAGAACAATGTATCTATATGAAATATTATACAATATGTGGAAAAAATCGCAACGCGCGGCAAAAGTTGGAACATAAAACGTGAATTTGCGCGGAGCCGAACTATACGCATCGTCACATTACTGTAATATTACAGAGAATAAGCCTAAATAAGATTTTTGAAGCCCTATAAGGATACATTTTTTCAAAGGTCTAGTATATAATAATAATTAAATTAAATACCATAAAAAATTAAGGATTATCAAGAACTTTTTTATCAACATTTTATTTTAAATTAAAAATTTTTTTTTTAATAATTAAAGGTTTAAGGTGTTACTTTTTTCAACAGCACAATATTAAATAAGTAAATATTACAATATTATAAATGATAGTTCAAAATTAAAGTCCCCTAAAAATTTCAATTCTTATGGTTCAAGGGTCATACTACTCATACTCTTCCTGGAATACTCCTAATCCGAACTTGACTGAGAATGATAATGAAACTATAATTTTATGACTCTCAAAATTGATATAAGATATGGATATTGATAGAAGATCCAATTTAATATTCGAATAGCTGAACTATATTATTATTTTATTAATATACTATAGATACAAGACGTAAATTAAGCAAATACTTATTTATATTATTTCTTTGAAAAATTTGAAATGTTAGAATTAAATATGTGATATAACTGTAAATAAAATATTATTTTGAAATCCAATAATTTAAAATTTACATAAATAAATGTTCTCAATATACATTGAAAAAGTGTATAATAAAAATATGAACATTACATATTTATTTTGGAATAAACTACTTAACCCTGTAACTAATAATAACCAAGGTTAGATCACCCTAGGTTAGAATCTGATAATGACACTTCGTCGGAATGCTGTAAAACTTTTCTAAATGATTAAGTAAGTATTAAAATTTGCGATAAATTTACTTTAAGAAAATGATTCAAGAAAATAGTGTTTCCAAAAAAAAATTATATTTTCCATTTTCCAATTATCGGCGAAAAGTAAAGATATAAAATCGTTATTTTGTAATTTGCACCAATAAGTATGATAACATAGAAATTTGTCTATTATGTATAATATAATGTGTATAATGTATATACCTATATCATTTGTTATTTACAAAAAATTCGTTTCTATTTGACGAAATTTAATATAATATTTACTTACTGGTAAGGATATTGCTTGGAATCCACTTTGATGACGGTCGGTGGAAAGGAAGCTAGCAACAGACCAACCGGCAGGATAGTAGCCAATACCTTCAGCATACTCTTCCATGGATCTTTTTTATGAGTCGTGACGCTATGATAAAGTTTTGGTGGTTCATGTATTATGTCTGAGTATTGCGACATCTCGTTTCCATAATATTTGCCGAAATGCTTTTCGTAAAAGTTGTTGTCGGAAGCACTAATGTGCTGCATTCCACCAAAATCGTGTTTCATTGGCTTAGACTGCGGTTGAGGTAAGACTTCGGTAAACTTATACGGGCCCCTAGACTCCAACCCGTTAGATCGATTGTCATTATGTGAGTATTGGGAGTAATATTCATTGGTCGCTTGGGGGAAAACTACGTTACTGTCGCTAGATTTCGGCGGCAATTGATATGTTTGCTTATTGGGTCTTGCAAAGTATTCAGGTTTATGAAAAACTTCGTGTGTAACTTGCGGACTAGGCCTTTCGAATATAGGGTTACCGTCAGGTCTGTAATAATTGCTGGGCTTGAAGTCTTCAAAAACCACATTAGGACCATACGACGAAAAGTTAACGGAAGTTTTGACCGAAACAGCAGTAGCTTCGGTAACTAGTGCAATTTTTTCCAAGTTTTTGGTCTCTTCGGTAACTTGTGAAATATTTTCCAAACTTTTAGTCTCTTCAGTAACTCGTGAATTTTTTTCCAAGCTTTTGGTATTTTCAGTGGTAGAATCGGTCGACTCAGTTGTAGTAAATACGTCTATGTCAAGCTGTGGCATCTGATGGGAGTGGCAGACAAAGACCAATAATGAAAGTATAACCTATAAATATATTTATAAAAAATCTTGTTACAAATTAACAATGTCACGTTTAATTGATTAATCTAATGTAGTTCTACAACATTATAATTACCTTTTCCATGTTCCCAAATAATAATAACATAACATTACCTATTTCAGTATTTGGGCGCTTATCGCTCCTTTACGTTGTCGCTCATCGCATTCGAATGAGATAAATGACAGAGTTTTATATTATTTTAAGAAAAATGTGCATATTGTTCATATTCAAAATACGGAAAAGTGTACAAATTAGGTAAATGTTATAGTATATTTTAATAACAACAGAGTTACATATGAATGGGACATTATATTCACTTTCTTTTAATTTTATGTAATTATTTTTATTGTCTCGGAAGTGATATAGCATATGTAGGTATACGTGATGTAACTTTATCACTAATAGTATGACAGTAGATACTGTCATATAGTTATCATTTTAAATCACTCAATACAACAATTTAATTGTATATACACACATTCTCTTATTATTGTCTTATTCAAGGAAGATGCACATTGTTTACCGACAAGTAAACGTAATTTAAATATATATACTTATTATGTTCAGTGGTTTCATTTATTCAAGTTTTTTTCTTATAAATAAAAAAGTTTTTTATCTACATGATATATGTCAAAACTAAATAAAAACCTGAAATTATTTTACATTATAGAAATTACTTGTTAAAACTAGTTATGTCAAAGAGTGTCTACTGTCTGGTAGATTTAAGAATATATCATTATTAATTATACCTAAGTTTAAATAATTTCGTGTTTTTTATTGCTACATGACCAATAATATTATTTTACTGTTAAATTTTATTTATTTCTATGGAAAAAACATAAATTTACTTTTTACTTTCACTTTTCCTTAATTGGATTAAAATACCAATGAAATGAAAAATTATGTCTACGAAGTATTAAATATATCTAAATATGATTAGTTGGTGGAAATTTTAATATAATAAACATTTATATTATACTTGTATGTATATAATTTATAGCCTTACAGGTACTACTAAAAAATGCTTTTATTAATTCCTCGATTTCTCTCAAAATTCAAGAGTAAACATATTAATTATTATTGCTAGAACCTATATAAATTATAATAATAGTAAAAAGATATCATACATATTATATAATCTCTAAATAAGTGGTTTAAAATATATAATTTTTTATTGATTACTTATAATAAATGACGTTTATTTTTAAGTATTAAAAAAATATGATAATTGACTTGTAGTTTAATGTCAATGCGAGTCAACAAAAGTAATATACGGTCGCTTTAGGTACTAAATTTTGTGTCTAATTTACCGTTTATGAATAAGTATACTAAGTATAAGTAGCATCTATATATAAATGTGTAATAAAATTGTCATAAAAGTCCTTAAAAATTTTCACACGCTGCAAAGATATCACCATAACGGTATCTTACATTAAAATGTAGTCGAATACAATTTACCACTACGTCTGGTGCGATAACACTGCTCAGAGCATTAGAATTTTACCACCACCGTTGCAATGTATGAAAAATCTAAATTAAGCAAAAACTATCACAATGTGTAATATTTAAAAAAAAAATGTATACCGTACGAGAACCTATATTTTAAATCAAGGAGAGTTATAGAGTGGCAGAAATTATTAAGATATATTATATTCTTTGAAATGGGAGGCTGTGACCAATCAGAGCAGCCATAATTTTCTTGGATAGTAAGTACAGTATTGTTAAAATTTTTTTTTGTAAAAATTGGATACCTACTTAATAGTTTTTAAAAATCCGATGCATAATGTATCAATATATATTGTTGATTTACAAATAAAACTCCATTCGCATAAAAAATTTATTCAAAATATTGAATAATTGAGTTGTAAGGACATGACTTTTTTTGATTTGTGCAAAGCAAAATATGTTTTTTTTTGTTATTCAACAAGCAAAAAAAATTTAGATTCTCTACTTCATAGCTGTCGAAAAATTGACTGTCCAAATAAAATTAATATGTATTAACGTATCAATATGAGTTATAATATATCAAATACTAGTTGTTGGGGTGGATACTTGATACTTCCATATTGTTCTAAATAAAACAGTAAATGTAAATACCGAGAACAGTAAGAAAAGTTCATAAGGATTACCATAATACCAATAAATACGTTTAAGGAGGCGATAAAAACGTGACAAAAAATATGAAGTAGGTATGTGTGGCTTGTGTGCAAAAGCAATATTTTAGTATTTTCAGATAATTGCAGCACACGTTAGTGACTAAAATATGTAACTCCTTACACTTTTTTTCTGAATTTTACAATCTGTAAATATTCTTAAGGTTCTACACTTACTACCAAATATATTTTATAACTATTGGCTATTACCATCGATTACTTAATATTATTCGGTTATTAAAAACTTATTTAGAAACATATTATTGTTAAAATTTTTTATTTTTCGCCTACTAGTTGTAAGATAGGCAATTTGCAAACATTGAAGTATGATAATGCAAAATTTGCATTAAAATTTAATTTAATTATTATAATTTTATTTATCTAATAGAACTCTCAAGATATTTTGCATCACAAAGAAATGTATTTTTTCGGAAAAAACTTTTTTTTAGAGTTGAGTTAATATTTTAAAAGATAGACCTTTAACAGAAGCTCTCAATTTAATCGATAACTTAAAAATTTGACACAGGTATAGACATTAGGCATTTAGATATTTTGACATGGATGTACAAAAAAATAAGTAGGACTAGTTAAAAAAAAATATTTATGAAATAATTTGAACTTAAGCAGAGCATAAAACATTTGAAGGATTCCGAGATCCTAACTCTGTACATTTCTTACACCTATTCTAAAAACCATCACCTGCTCATAAAATGTTTACATCCATAAAAATTACATTATTCAATTTAAGCTATCATGATATACCATACATGTAGTACCTGTACTGCTTATTTTATATAGCTATAACATCTACATTAATCTACGAGCTTAAATTGTATAATACCTTCAATTTAAAAAACGCTAATAATTTGGTATTTGATGGGTATTTATAAATATTGATAATAATAATAAAAAAGGGATATCGTGTTTTTTTTTAATTTTTTTTTTTCGTTTGAATAACTATAGATAATATTATGATTTATATTGTTTAATATTCAATAAAACAAATTTAAGAAAGTGGAAAGATACCAATTTTTAAGGAATTAGGTATAGGCAAATTATACGACATGGTTATTTTTATGAGTTCAAAAAAATTAATTATTAACTTCATATTATTTTAAGAATTGTAAAATAAATAAAGTATATTTATAAAGAAATAATAGTCAGTAAGCTAGTTTCAAAATACTCGTATTTTATCAATACTTACTTTCATTAACTTACTGCTTCATTTAATTCATGGTAACTGGAGATTCAACAATTAACAAAACGACTGACTAGAATGGTATTGTAATTAATTTTTTTATTTTTGGAAAAAAATAGTTAAACGTATATTCTAAATAATTTGTATCGTGAAAGCGTTTATAAAATACATCTTAAATTTATGACAAAACTATTCTGTTTCAGCTCGTGAGTTTACAAAAATATCTGTTTGTTACTCATGTATGACGATCAAAACTTTACTGTACTCAAAAGTAAACGATTGAGAGCGTTTGATGTGTTAATTGCGATATGCTATTCAAACACAAACAATATGTGACGCTTTTACTTTGTCGATCATCGACGTCTCAAAATCAGCGCTCCACCCGACAACGTTTGTCATTCACGTGCCGAAGACAATAGCGAGAATTTCAGATCACTTGCTGCCTGCACTTCGTTTGACCATTACACCATAATACGTACTTATAAGTTCTACTTCAAGACTACGGACACAACAATATTATTTTACTATATTAGTGAGTACTGTCTGACTATAATATCGTAATATCGTATTTTTGTATATATATTTCGTATATTGTTGATACTTCATGATAATACATTTTTTTTTTTTTTTTTATTTCGTTGAATTAAAAGCTAATTAACACAAAATTTAGCTCTGTTAAAAGTCATCAACTGTCATTTTCTGATAAGCGACAAAAATAATTAAGTAACTGAATTTAGATGGTATATATATTATGTAAAAGTTGCACGTTAAATTAGTATGACACAAGAGTAAATGACGTCTTAAATTATACATGTAAATATGTCTGCACTATTCGTTTGAAACATATTTTTCAAGTATTTTACTTAACTTAGGTTTTATTGACGAAATTAAATTGAAATTTATATGGTCAGGTGTTCAGGCAAATAAAATAAAAAATTAGTTTTACATGATTATATTTTAACCATACAGACTATGCAGACGCCGGTGACCGTGCTCGTGTGCTTACTGCTGTTTGTTACTCGATCCGTTTTGGGACTCGTCGCGGTCGATGAATATCGTGCGAACGGTGATGATCAAAAAGAAGGTAAACTACGAGACATAAAACCGGAGTCTGTGTTGATGGGCCTCGCCAAGACGTTAATCGGTGGAAAAACAGGAGCGGCCAGTGGTCAAGTATATATTGAACAATATAGTTTAATTTGATTTTTCGCAGGCATACCTACACACAATGCATATTAATATCGTACATAAATCTAAAATAGGATTAATATTTTTTGTTCGTTGTAAAGAATTTATTGACACGTATCCAACGTATTATTATACATTTAGAATCACTACTGTATAGATCGTGATGCATACCAGAGGTCAGCCCGGGGTTTCTGCAAATTGTCTTCTCTGACCACCTTGTCCAGTCCCTGTAAATTTTTCAAGATGGCCAACGGATTTTGCGATCTCCCCGACATCTTGGCTAGTATTTTTTTTTCAAAAATAATAATAATAGTATACCTTATCAGAAAACTTTCCGGAAATCTTTTTTCTAAAATTGTATTTGGGTTCTACTGCTTATAATATGAATATATTACTATATTTACTTCCACTTTCAATAGATTAAACAAATTAACGCCACAAAAATCTACATAATCATACTTCAAATTACATTTTATTTACTCTTACTGTACCAACACTACCAACTATGCTTGTGACTGTTATCTGTTCTATATAAATTTATTAAGTAGTAGGGCAGAAGACTTATTGTTACTATGTAAGCAATAAGTATATTAATATACAAGGACTTATATAATATATTATATTTTCATATTATATCATATGTTATTAAAATAATAATTTGAATTTAAATAAAACATATTTTATTTCGCTTCTTCTTTATAAGTTTAAATATAATACAATAAATAATTAATTCATTTTTATACCTAACTTGAATAAATTATTCTTAAGACATTTTAAAAAATAAAATAGTTTTTCCGTTAATAAAAAATGAATAAAAAGTATATATTTAAATCAATTATCAGTTTAATGCAATATTTTTTCCCTTCAACAGTTTTAATTCATAAAATACGTCAAAAATAGTCAGCCCCGCAGTAAAATATATACCTCGACATAAAATTAAGGAATCTAATTAATTGTTTAAATATAAACAATATTCAGACCCGGTTTTATTATCTTATTAGTTATCACGAAAGAAATTCATTTCTTTGGCGATAAGCACCTAGCACGAAAACAAACAAGCAACTGTTATAAAACATGTCATCTGCCCTATGCCTTGTAACGATCGCACTATTTTATATACATTTTTTTTAAATATTTTACATGTTTACTTGCTATTTGTGTTGTATACCTATTTGATATTATATGCCTATTATGCACAATTTAACTATTAAACATTGACATAATACTAATGTAATAATCATAGTACGTTCGTTTTGTTTATAGTCGCTGAGCTTGAACATGTCGAACATAGTACTGATGTTGGTGCTCAGGGGTCTGATATGGGGTGTGTCGTACATGCAAAGCGCCGGTGGCGTCAAAGAAGCTCGAAACGATGATTTGACCTCGAACGCAGTCGGAGGACTATTCCAGGACATGGTAACCGAAACCGACGTGATGCTGTTCCTCGGTTATCTGGTGGCTGACGAATCGGGCCGATACGAATGTCTGAACCGTGTGGCGTGCGAGCAACCAGAGCGGGCGGAGAGTTATTTCAAAACCGCCGAAATCGTCTGGAAAACTGCGAAAATGTTTGACGAGTAAGCTGCATTTGCCGAGCAAAAGATAATATTATAAATAGGATATTATTTGTGAAAAAATCTGAAGGAGGATGTAATCCTGGCAGTTCCTCCCAATCGCGTCTATGCATATATTATATTGTATAAGTGTAATAAAAATTCGATACGTCATACAGCCTTTGAGTTAATAATTTCTTAGAGAATGTAAAGTGTAACTATCTTCGTTTAAAATAATATTATCATACTCAAATACTCTTTTAGTCTCTAATCCCCCACCCCCATACATACACACACCATTTCGTGGCAATACACAACTAAAGTCATATTACGTCAGAGATAATTTTAAATACTCGCAACATTTAAACGTATATTATAATAAATAATATTTGAACTACATCAATATCATTTTCAGTGCGATACCGTTGGATGCGAAATACGAGAAAACGTTGACCCGGTTACAAGAAGCAATCGAGAACGGAATGGCAAATGAAGATTGTGAGTCGAAATATAAATGTTTTGGGCCGACTGCTGCCGATACCTTCAATATTTAACTGAATTAAGTTTAATTGTGAAGTAATATCTACTTTAAACCATTTCAATACAATTGTTTGTCGAATTAAGTCTGATTGACAACAAACATACCAATGAGCGTAATCTGTGGATACAATTTTTAGGTTATTAATGTTATTATACATAGTTGATAAAATTGTAACTACCAATCAGCATTGTTTCAAATGTTTTGTGGTATGAACGTATTATAATATTATATACTAACAAAAAATAAAGTTGTTATTATTATTATTATTAATTATTATGCTATAACTTATTGTTCAAGTTTAAAAAAAATGTATTGTTATTTGTTTTATTTCTTTATTTATGTTAAACATTTAATATATTAATATACATATTATTTAATAAATTGTGTTAAATGTGATTTATATTAATTTTTAAAATGTAAAAAATTATGTGCCGTGACCAGGATTCGAACCTGGGTTATTGCGGCCACAACGCAAGGTCCTAACCACTAGACGATCACGGCCGTGTGTTATATTCTAGTTTACTATAAGATATGAATTATTAGCCGTCGATTTTTATGACAAACATAATATAAATTATAATATTATACTAAAATGGCAAGATACATACCATTTAAGTACACTTTGATTTAATTCTCATCGGCTACCAATATTGTCATATATGGGGAGGTCTGAAAGACATTTTTTTATGGACATATTATATTTGATAATTTTAAAATAAATATTACTATTATAGTTATTATTATTGTTGATTAATACAATTAATATACGTTATTCAATACATTGATATAAACGCATAGGTTTTATATTTTCAAGTGTAAAAATAGTCAACAGTATTGGTCAATCAAACTCAATACTCATTAGTCATTACTCATTAGTCATTTGTAAACATAGTACCTAATAAATAATTATAAAAAATATAGTACCTATCTACTTAAATACAATTTTAACATTAATACAATAACATGTGTTACTTGTGCACACCCATTTACACGTCCCTATCACTTAATAGCGCAATTTTGTTTTTGGTTAAGACTCTAAAAGTACAAACCTAATTTTCACAACCATACCGTTTGATATACCTACTCATAGGATAGAATTTATGAAAACAGATTTGGTTCGTCATTAATTTAACTTTATAATCACTTTTCCACATTTTTTGTTTATTATTTAAATATTTTAAAATTGTATATAATTAATTCTTGTTTGGTCAAATGGAAAGCCTAATACAGTGTATTCAAACATTGCAATTCAACTTCTCTAGACTTGGAAAGCAAAAACTGAGCAAAAAATGTAACAAATGAAAATAACGTAATAAACTATTTAAAAAATTTGTATTGAAATGTTTGGTAAGCCATAATAATTAAATTATATTATAATATAATATATAAAAATTAGTTATATTGATCAACGATCACTTATAGCTTTGTGTCTATATTCTTACTGCTAGACATGTTTAAATAGTTAATTCTAGACAAAAAAAATAAAATTCGCACTAAAAATTCGTTCGAATTTTAATTTTGTATTCCAAATATAATCGTTCTATTCAATTTTCAAATTTGTCTCCTAAACACGTGATTAAAAATGAATATTAATGTTAAATTAAATTAATAACTTACACTATTCGACTTGAAATGTAGATTTATAATTAATAAACTAAAAAATAGCATACAAATTGCAAGAGATATTCTGAAAAGAATTGCAAGCATTTTAATTTTTAGATCTACTTAAAAGCATAAGTTTTTCAATAGGAATCGATTGTTTAATCAACAAGATACTGTAAGAAGATAACTTAAAAAAATGTTCGAGTAGTATCTGTAATAAAATACGTTCGTTATTCATTAAAATATTGTATTAAATATTAACTGTTTGGATGTTTAGACTCCTGAAAAAATATTTCTTATTGTTCCGCCTATAAAATTCATGGTAGGCATTTCGCTTACATAAAAGTTAAACTAGTTATCTATTTATTATACCATTTTATTATTTTTATAAAATCATATAAATTGAACTATTTTTCATGTAATTATTTACAAGTGAGAAAATGCTATTTATTGTATAGCTTTAATTAGTATTTATAATTGTTGTTGTTCAAGTTTATTATGGTAAACGCATAATATTGTTTCTAAAAACAAAGAAAGATATGCCTGTGAACATATTATTATTAGTTTATCGACTTTATGATCAATTCAATGTTAAGGGTTGTCGACGATGACATTCGAAAATACTTTAAGATATTATTATGATGTTATGAAACGTCTGAAAACATTTCAATTTCCAGTGATAATAATTTAAAAAAATCATAGAAAGTGTATATACTATATGTGTATTATAAAAATACGAGTAGGTACTTCTAAGTCTACGCTGTTTACACTCATATATATATATATATATAGGCGTTATAATAATAACAATACACCACTTTAACACACAGTAAACATGAACAAACAAAATGGTTTGCAGTCATGATTTTAGACAAATATTCCATTGTGGCGGCCGCAGTATTGCTGTTAATTCTGGTCGCAAGTTTTTTATTTCCGTAAAACCCACACACATGCATACACACACACACAAACGACAAAAACAAACGGTTCCGTTTACTTGATCGTTACATGTGTTCTGGTGAAACTTTAATTGCAACGATATGCTGTCGAAGCACGAACAATACGCGACACTTTTACTTTCCCGGCCAGAGACATAACAAAATCGGACGTTCGGTCGTCTGGACCCGTCATTTATAGCACCGAAGACTATCCTTCAACATAACGCCGTGGCACTATTGATATTTTTGATTTACTATCGTCTGTCCACAAGAATTACGTTCGTCGAAATAATAATATATAGTAACTGCAAGTTTAATCGTTCAGGTGAGTGTCGACCGGACCACGTCGTCGTCAGTGACGTTTATCGATAAGTTTCTTTTTCAGGCGACCAGCTGTCCTTATGTTACTATTTTTATTCGATAATTAAATGTATACACATTTAAAAATTTTATTTTTTTTTAAAAAGAATCATGCAATCGACGAGAATCGCGTCCGTGTGCCTACTGTTGTTGGCGAGTCGAGCGGCAGGACACGCAATTGGCGAAAATCACGGTGCGGACTACGAACACTCGTCCGGAATCGGCGAAGACCGTAAGAGAGACACTTCGCATCAGTCGAGGGTTTTGGACATGGAGTCGATATTTGCGGGTTTTGCCAAGTCAATGATCAGCCGGACTGGAACTACCAGTAGTCAAGTACAAAATAACATATACATTAGGTTTTATATATTAATATTATTTTCTTGTAGAAAGATTTGAGAACAATTTTTTTTTTATTTTTTTTTTTAATGGGTTTTTAATTTGTCGCTTTTGGTAATAACGCGTGTGCAACGTATTATTATATTGTATATTTAGAACCAGCATTGTATAAATCCGGGTGTAAAAAAGAGGTCCACCGGTCAGGGTTTCTGCAAAATGTCTTCCCTGACCACCTTGTCCAGTCCCTGTCAGTTTTTCAAGATGGCCCTCGGATTATGCGATCTACCCGACATTTTGGCTAGTATTTCATTTATGTTTAAAACAAAACTTCAACACCCCTCTTTCCCGCCCAAAATCTTTTCAAGAATCTTATTTCTATGACTAAAATTGCATTTCGGTTTTTCTTTTACTTCAGTCTTCAATCAATTTAATAACCGTATATTTTTTTATCGTTCTTGACTCTTCCACATAAAAAAATGTTGTATCGACCACTACGATCATTTTCAACACACACACACACACACACACATACAAATAATAAAAATATACGTTTCTACATGTTATTATAATATTTAACTCAAGATGATATACACCGAATCCATCACAATGACACGATGTTTATGTAATACGAATTATATATTTTGTACACGGTGAAAATACGATTATATTTCTATATAATAGAAACCTATATTATGCCGGACGGCGAATTTTGTTCTTTGTCAACTCGTTTAACGTATGACAGTTCGCACTTTATTACTACAAATTATAACATTAAAAACATATTATTATGCCCAGTACAAACGCGAATTGTATATGAGGTATTAACTATACTATATACTATACCTGTTAACTACCTAAATGCTGTACAGTACAAAATAATAAGTAGGTACATAAACTCTTTTTTTTAACTCGAGATACTGTTTTGACATTTTCTGGGAAATGCTCTTTTTTAAATTCACGCTAATTTACATGGATAATAATATTATCCTATTGCTTATATATACGCCTTTATAAATGTTTATACGATTCATATAGCCGTATATAACGTATTATTCTTAATACAGTCTCGTCTGATGTTCTCAAACATCTTAAAATTTCATTTAGAGGTTTTGAATTAAACATATAGACAAGTGTTCAATGAAATCCCGTAAAATACTCAATTATGTTTTGTATTAATTATCTATAATAGGTTCTCAATACTTATCACTTAAATTAACTATCATCATTTACATAATTTATTTATTATATGAATATTTTATTTCCTAAAATACATCTGTATACTCTGTATTGGAAATTATTAGAGTCCTACTTCAGATACTATATCATAAAGTTATAATTTAATTTAATTTTGATTGTATATTTTCTGAAGTCTAAATGGTCTGAATCTGTAATTATCATTTGACCATCAAATACTAAATAGTTATATCTTTTCAAATAAAAACTGTATTAAATAACAATTTAAGTAACCATAAAATGTTTTTCATCTAATTCAATGGTTTTTTTTTTATTGTTAACCATTTTACAACGTTTCCACTCTGAAAATTACTTTAGTCTATGAAAAATGAAAATCGCACTGACCAGTTGAGAGGGGGCGTATAATTATTTATTCCCTGCGATCTTACCTTACAATTTTGGACGGTCATGGAACGTTGAGCCAAATTAAAATTGTATTATTCCGTGATAGGTATGTACCTATTTGGTATGTACCATTTCGGTATTTAAATAAAGCCAAATACACATATCATCTAAAACTAATGTATTTTATATTTATTCGAAAAAAAATTAAAAACATACTGAATCAATTTATATGATACCAACATACAGACATATAAATCCACGTTCATTATAACTTTAATTAAAAATCAGTAATTAACGCAAAACATTATGCACTATCATTATTGTTATTGCTCTAAATTATTCTAAACATTATACATAATATATATACACACTTTAATATGTCTACATAGAATTATACAACTATATTAGTCTGATAAAAAAATACTTTCAATTCCAATTGAAATATCCTAAATTGATATATCTATTTTTAACTGATAAATTATTAAACACTTTTGTTTTTATAACTCTCACAACCACAGGATCTGACATTTTTTGTTACTAATTCTCTATGAATACATCTAAGGCGTCGTTTTCTATGTGATGAACGATAACTTTCTTAACAGTGCTTACTTGACTTGATCTTTATACCATGATGATATTTTAAATACTGTATACCTATTTTTATAAACATTATATGCTAACATCTATTATATAACTATGTATATTAAATAATTTACATCACTTTCTCATCTATGGATATTCCTATTGTTTACATTATATATTATTATAACACAAAGTGATTTATCAAGCATGCTTACTTCTAATTTATCTTTTATTTAAATTACGATATTTTGGAATTTTTAAGTATGTAGCTATATATACTTATATAATGACAATTTTTTAATCACTAATAGATTTTTTTTGCCGAGTAGGAGTGATAAATAATACTAAACAAACATTTTTTTACAAATAATTAATGCTCTTAAGTACTCAGTAGTTACTCTTTCAAGTTTCGATTTTGATGGCTACATAATAACTTCTAAAAATAATCATCTCTTAATAAATAATAATTTACAAAATCTGAGACGTTATTAATAAAAAAACTCAATTTTATTACCACAATAGTATTCTTTAAATCGCACAATTAGTTAATTTAAAAATATGGTCTTGTAAGTACTTATTTATACTTAAAAGTCCTAAAGAAAAAAATGTAAATAAATACATAAATGCAAAGGAAAAAATGACTGTCAGTAACATGTTTGATAAATCATCCTGTATACCTTCGTCCATCACACCCCTCGACGACTGCACTGCCTTACTCGACGGTATGCAAACGACCATCGATTATTATACAGTGTCCGTCGTCATCTGTTTGTCTAGATGCTCAGCCTAAACATGTCGAACATAGTACTGATGCTGGTCCTCAAGGGACTGATCTGGGGAGCGTCATACATGCAAGGGCACAGTGACAAAGGCCGGAAGGACGGTCCGGATGCGGTGACCTTGAGCGGGAGCGGACTTTTGCAGGACATGGTCAACGAGACGGATTTGCTATTGTTCCTTGGATATTTGGTGGCCGATGAGTCAGGTCGTTACGATTGCCTGAATCGCGTGGCGTGTGAGCAACCGGCTAGAGCGGAAGGTTACCTGAAGAGCGCCGAAATAGTTTGGAAAACAGCGAAGTTATTGGATGCGTAAGACTTTGACTAAACATATATATATTTTTTTATATGCGAGATACGATTATTATTAATTATAGATAGTTTTTTTTTTGTTGGGCGAGAGGCAAGATAAAATTTCCGCTGTTTAAATATTTTCTAATAATTATAAGTTATAATTAATAACTGTACTTTATCATAGATATCCCAACTTTTGTTAATAATCTACATAAGAAATATGATTAACAATATATATAACTCTTTAATAAGTATTTCTGTATATCTAATATTTTTTTATTTATTAATAAGTTAAAATTATCAGTTATTCGCCAACGACCATACCACGTTGAATACACCAGTTCTCGTCCGATCACTGAAGTTAAGCAACGTCGGGCGTAGTTAGTACTTGGATGGGTGACCGCTTGGGAACACTACGTGCCGTTGGCATTGTTTATTAATTTTTTTAAACGGATTTATAATAACAATAAAAAAATTATTTAATAACTTATTATTTATAATTTAACATAATATTTTACGCAAGTTTATCATTAATTATTATTGTCAATATACACTTATATTTAAAAACAAACAGAACTATTACATAAACATTATAATCAAGTGTTTTAAAGAATTTCCACACTCTCTAAAACTTTAGAAATGTCAATTATTAATGACAAAATAATATATTTGTTCAAAAATAGTAAAAATAAGTATCATACAGTGATTCCTAGACCGACTAATTTAATACGTTTTTTAAATCCTGATTCCGAATATAAAATTATTATACATAGTGATTTTTTATAAGGATAAACATATTTTTATGCTTAAATTGTGCATTCATTTAAATTTAGATTTTCATAATTAATAATTAGACTAATGGCTATTAAAAAAAAATAAATACTTTTTACATTATTTAAAGACCAAGTAACTATAGTTGAACAAGGTTTATTTTATTATTTCTTACGGATATTTACTAAACCATCTGTACATAAATATTCCATATACTTATAGGTACTAGTAGTATTAAAATGTACTATATTAGTTTTTATAAAAATATATTCTAAATACTAGATTGAACGATTTTTTTTTTTTGCCCATTTATGCTATAGTTTAATAACAAAATGTGCGAATTTTACAAAACATAATGTTTCAAATTATATTTATGCGACTTAATAAATCATAATTTTAATTTTATGTTATTGAATTTTGATTTGGAGAATTAATCTAACAGTATTAGATATCATGTAAATTAATAATCAACATTTAGGTATTTAAAATATTTATAAATAAAAATACAATGAAAACAAATGAAAATTGATAATATGACGATAAAATATTATAACATAATCGTCGGGCGTAGTTAGTACTTGGATGGGTGATTGCTTGGGAACACTGTGTGGCGACTGACGTTGGTGTATTCTTTTATTTATCTTAATAAAATAATAATAACTTACATTTTAAAACAAAGCTCTAACAAAAATAACATAAAAGATTTTTTCAAATATATAGTTTATTTTATTAATCAAGTAAAAAACGTTGAAAGTTTACTTTTTATGGCTTATAGAAAGGTTGCAGGAAACTAGAAGAGGAAATAATTCTTACAATAGTTATTTATCATGTACTAATTATATTAGGCTGCACATAAATTATATTCCGATACATAAAAATCGATAAGAAGGTACACGAATTGTGTTCGGCTTTATCTAAATGACTACACGAGTTGCGTCCGATTTTATCCATACGACAATTTCATAATTATATTTTTTTCCCAGTTCTATTTCAAATGGTAAGGTAACTTTTAAGTAGATTATACTTTTAATTTGTATACGGGAAGGAAAATTATGTTTTTGCGTCTTATAATTTTTTAATACTACTTTAATTTTTATACCTACTTCTAATTGCAAAACAACGACAAAAAAAAACCATGTTTTTAACCTACCGATAGTTATAATGTGCTTTAGACAGTCTTGAGTCTGTAGGAAAATTATGTTTTTACGTTGGGACGTAACTCGTGTACTCGATAAATATCACTGGGATGCAATTCATGTACTCGATAAATATTGTCGGGAAGCAATTCGTGCATATTATTGTTATTCATAAATCATTATTCTAATTACTACTTATTATTTGAATTACAAATATTGATTAGGCAGTTTTTTTATTATTTTTATTATTTTATTCGTTCAATATGATTGATAAGAATAGTGGTTAAATCATTCCAACAAGAATAATATAAAAATATTTTCATTGAATATTTTACAATATTAAATGACATAAAAATTTTAGTTTAATTAATGCCAATATAAAAGCCGCATACTTTTGAAAATACCATAACAGAAGTTGTAATATGTTGATATGTAATAGGTCTCTAGCAATCGTAAAATAAATGCATAGAAATGATGTCCCATTACTTCCATGATTATATAATTGATGTATAAAAGTTAGTATATTACATTATCACTCTCTCTCTTCATTTCATTTGTCTTTGTACTGTTTATTCATTTGCATAATAAATGCAAACTGCGAACTATTGACAATTACTTGTATCGGTTGTATTTGTAACATATTTAAGTTGTTTTCCTATAATTTTTATAGTATAATATTATATGCATGCACAACTGCAGAGTAGTATATAAAAATTGAACGTTATTGATATTAGAAAATGAAAAACGAAATATTTAAAGTAATATTAAACACGCCGACGACTATATTGTTACTATTACGGAATCACCGTACAGTAATTACTATAACAGCTTGATTGAGAATAATATTATATTATACAATGTTTTGAAGTATAAAACACATGCGAGAATATTTGATTGAATATATCATATATTATTATTAACAATATGGTATTGATTGTAGTGTGGTGCCGGTAGATGCGAAATACGAACGAATGTTGATCGAGTTGCAAGAAGCCATTGAAGATGGTAGAGCGGACGGAGATTGTCAAGCCAAATACAAATGCTCCGAGCCGAACAACAACGAAGATAACTTTAACCTGATTTAATATGTATATTATTATAGTTTTTTTTTATGTTTAAGATATGTTTTGCCAAATTTAAGTCTGATCAACGAGAACGCAGTGAGCAATCATTTTATGTATTGAATTATTATTGAATATTTTAATCACGCAATAACGCAGATAAAATAATTGTAGTAAATAACATTTTTTTTTTTCAAAAATATTTCATTTTTATATCCAATTTACCTATAATAATCGTATTTATATATTACTTTTGCTAGTTGATGAACAATGACCTCATTTAAAATAAAAATGTTATTATATCTGCACGTTAATTTCTATCGTAGACCATAACGATTAATGTATACCGACTATTGTATCTGTATCATTTTCATTAATTGGATTCATCATCTGACCTATATCCGAATTACTATACCTGAAATAGAGATTATTGTTTTATATATATACCTATATAATATATATTTTATAAATATTACTTACTTGTATATTGTGATGTAGAATTTTGTTGTTAACATTAAATAATGGTTTGTTAAGTACTATTTTATTTTTTTCGTCGGCTACCTCTATTTCTGCAAATGCGAAATTATTTTCATGACAAAACAGCTTGCAAATATTATGTATTATTGACCGGTGGAATTTAGTTTCAGATTGAGTTATTGCCAAGGGTACACGTCCTCGGATGTCAGATCCCAAACATATATTGGTAGTCATTATTCATGTGTTCTTTTTTCAGTGAAGGATACTATAATATGTTATAATATAAACTATAAAGAAAAAGGAAAAGAAAATTATAATACTATGTTATAATTATGTGAAAATAGTAGGATGTATCACTATCATTTAATAGATTGTGTTTTCGATCATTGTCAGTCTAAAAAAAATTTTAAGGCGTTTAAATGAATAAAAAAAATATATGAATATTATATATCTTTATATTTAGTGATTTATAATACATATTATATGAGTAATTAAAAAAAAAAATCTGTTTTATAACTGCATTTAATAACATCAAATAATACTGCCTACTTCGCCAACGACCATACCACGTTGAATACACCAGTTCTCGTCCGATCACTGAAGTTAAGCAACGTCGGGCGTAGTTAGTAGTACTTGGATGGGTGACCGCTTGGGAACACTACGTGCCGTTGGCATTTTTTTTGCTTAAAATTCTAATATTAATAATAACAATATTAATTCACATATCATATATCATGAATTCTTTTTATTTCTGTAGCATAGTTGTTTTTATTTTGTAATATTATGTAATTACTAATTACATAGATATCCATAGCATATTATTGTATTATATAATCATATTTATTAGCTATACTTATCATGATACAAAAAATAGTACTTTACAACTTTTTTATTTTCGGCATAAATAAATAATAATACTTTTCTACCATGTCCAAAAAATAAAAAATATTTATGGATCTAAAATAGTTTTTAAATTAGGTTTTACTCTGTGAAATGAAGGTACAATTATACAATGTACTTATTATCTACATAGAAGTATAGAATCGAGAAAAAAAATACGTAATCTTTTAATTAGAAATAAATGTAAATAAAGCTATACATTTTCAGATTTTCTTCGTAGACTTTGTATAAGTCTATATTGTAACCAACTTTTCTTGGGACATTTTCTATGGTAATTAGTTATGCTATATAATATTATAGTGTCATTTTATTTTATTTTGTATTACTCGTACTTTTCAAATTATAATTGTTCGTCGATGAAACCAATGCACCATTATGGCCTATGGGTATGCCAATGTATGTTTTCTATTATTGTGTACGTTGGTGTGGATAATGGACCTATGTACAGATTATATAAATAAATAATAAAACATTGTAGTCTGAAATATACAGTGTACAAATACTTACATATTTTTAGACGTAGATATCTACCTATATTAGTGTGTATAATAATATTTATCAACGCGGATTCAATTTTATATTTACAATGATATATGAATCATAATATTACACGTACTATACGTCTATACTATATATATATATATATATATATATATATATAATGTATTGATGCTGATTTCTTCTGAAAAGATTTTAATCGAATACCAACGTTTTCTCTAAACGCACGCTTATTATTATTGTTATTATTGTACCGTATCGTAAATCATTATATCGGTGCAGTATACCTACGTATATTATATACGGGTATATAGTGTATACCTCTGTATAGCGCGCAATAAACGACGATACGGCATCGGTGTATGTCCGGAACTCCGTACAGAATATCATTACACACACTATTGACTATCATTTACCTACATTATGAAAACCCCTGTGGCGTTGCAGTCACCACGTATGCCTCTGGAAAATTACATTATTTAAATATCGCAGCGCGTGGACGTGTCTGCGAAGAAGTCCAGTGCCGCGTAAGAGCTGCAACTTTACCACAAGTGCACGCGTCTCGTTTTTTACTCAGACGATTCTCTGCGGGCTCCTCGACAATACGCAAAAGTACATTAAATTATTATATTCGCGAAGTGTACACAATAAATTCTCTTAAACGTACATGTTATGCATCGCTGTTGTCGTTATATCGTGCACGTGATACTAAAATAACGCCAACGTGTATGATGTATAATACGACGTAACATCCACAATCTCTAATTGCGCACACACGACTCGAAGATGCCGTTCACAATAGAACAATTACGGCAACGGGCAAAGGTATAGAAAACTCGCTGTTTATGCCCTGTTAGAACCTTTAAGAGTTGTTCGAAATGAATTACTCAAATGTTTACGGTTCACTGCTTATAAAATGTTAATATTATTTGCCACTCTTATTTTTTGTACTTCCCAAAACCAAGACACACGAAAAGACATTTATGCAAATCATATCTGATTTATCTGAATGCAGCAAACTTGACATAAAATTTTCACAAAAACGGTTTTTGCTGATATTGAGAAGGCGATTCATTTAGCTCTTTTAAAAGTTTCGCCTTCTATTAGTTTAAAAGGATGTTGACTTTACTTGACTCCAAAGTTGGTGACAAAAAATATAGACATAAATACAAATTGGCTTGTAGTGAGTATAAAGAAGATACCGAAATCGCTAAATATTTTAAAATATTTTTTTGGTTTACCATTTTTGAATTCGAACGATGCGATCACTCACAGTTTTACAAATAACTTAATGACTATGTATAACCGTGTTTGTATTATGCAAATTAAAGTCAAAGACGTGCAATCGTCTATTTTTGTTTATTCGTAAATTGTAATGATGGATTATTTAACTACAACTTAAAGTTTTAATCAACATCGTTATTATTAATATCAGTTAGTACCTAATCCAACAAAAATAAAACAAAAATAAAGTTACTGCTTAATACATATATATATTTATAAGACCACCCGATACTATGGTAATTGATTTAAATGTATTTTGTGATTGAGAGTTTTCAAAATGTCAAAAGATATTATTATGTTGTATCTTTCTCTTAAGTGTTTTCTAACTTCACTAGTAAAAGGTCCGAATATTGGAATTTTAAGCATCAAAAGTAAATGTGAAATATTTCTAGGCATTAGAGAAACAGTCAAAATTTTTCAAATTATAAAGCCAGTAAAAAATATAATCGTGGAAATGGATGAAAATGATAAGAAAGTTGACTGCTGTAGATCAAAGCAACGACATGATTGATTTAATAATAAAAATTAATATGTGTTTACCTGATAATTTATTAGAGTTACATTTTTTACAAATTATGAATGATGGTTTTTTTTTTAAATTTGTGTTCTCTCTTCCTTATTCGATAAAACTCTAGGAACACCACAGTTTGTCGCACAAGCGTCTTAATATAATATATTGATGTTTTACTTATCGGATATTTAATTTGGCTTGTTGACTTAAGTGCACATAGCTCGTAAAATACCTGGCCCGAGTCTACAGGTTACATAATATAACGTGGCTGTTGGACGCAGAATAATCGTATATATAAATATAATATAAATTATTAAAACGAGAAGACGAAGAGAGATTTTAATTTTCGCATCTCCTGTGTATAAAATTAAATTATCTCTCGTCATCGCACATTCGTATACAATTCTTATAAACGTATGCATACATAGATAATGTTGTATTTATTTATCATCGCATTTCGTGGACGGTGGTGAATAGAAGTGCGTCGATGACTGCGTATATATTATATTATGCCTTTATATACGATATTATATTGTACGTACATAATATATAATATATTTATAATGAAAATAAATGTATACCTTATCGTCGTGCAGCGTTCGATATTTTAATAGACGTCTTCGGTTCAAATTAAAAGAGAAGAAAAAAAAGAATCTTTGTGATGTCGGTGCACAGTGGTTACGGCGCGTTATCGCGGTAAGAGGGGTCTCCCTGTACGGGCGGCTGCGACAGCGGCGGTGGTACCCATTCTCGTGGTGGTGGCGCGCGGCGCATGCACTGTTGTCGGAATCGTGTCCGATGTGTCGATGGTCGCGTTCCATTATTATTCGACTTAACACATCGCAAACACGACTCGTGTTGGTTTTTATTATTAATTCTGTTACATTCTGTCTTTTATCACTATTGTTATTATATTTATTCTTGTTTCGAGACGCATTTTCTCCTCGTTTTATGCGCGTGTAATATATACGTACGCGCGTATCACTGACGCCGCTGTTGAGCCCGTCAATCGACGCGACCACGTCTCCGACCGATCGATTCGTTTCGATAATATCATAAAAATAATAATAATTAATATATAAATACATTTAAAATAATATCGTGGGTGTTAAGACGTCGGTTTGCGCCGCGCGGTTGAGTGCCGCGTGTGGCTATATATTATTATCCATTTATACATATCGTATTCACAACGGTCCAAACGTCCGTTTGGTCTTTGTGCCTTTAAAAGTTTTCTGCGTGTGTGTGTGTGTGTGTTTTTTTTTACCGACCAGTGACGACGACAAGTGTCACGAGTATATTATAGTTCGGCGCAACTGTTGAGACTCACCAGTGCCGAGCAGCGATCGACGAATATCACTGTGTTTGGACATACAACTGATGTATTCTATTAATAATTGTTGTACAATACATTAATATGAATACTTTGCGCACGACAAGCTTGTAATATTGCAGTTTTTACTGCTCGAAACCTTCGACACTACGAATCAAAG